CTTATGGCACAGTGGCTATTCCTGATAACATTATCCCTTCCTTCAGCTATTCCTGAGATGTCACATACAACAGTTGTTGTAAGCCACGTTAAGTGTAATGACCAGGCCACAGCCAGATTTTTACAATACCATAAAAAGAATATTATAGTTTATAAAAAAATTTAAGAAACAGAAACAAGAAATATTCCAGGTCTCAGAATATACACAGACAAACAGAACTAAATCTTCTCAGTCTAGATTTGAAAAGAAGAGCAGACTGAAGTATACAGGATTCTAATAGGGTACATAACCACAGATTTTATAAATAGGATTAACCCAAGGGGCTTCTTCACACTTAGTAGTGAAACAAGGACACATAGTTATAGCCAGAAACTAAAAGTGGATTTATTACGTGAAGAAGAATAGAAAACACTTTTAAATAACAAGTTGTGAGCTTCCCAGCCAAGTAGTTGAGGCTTAAACTGTGTGGCTCTCTTGCTCTCTTGCTGGCTGGCCTACTGTATACTTGAATCATTACCTTTCCCTTTAGACATAAAGGAAGGAAAGTCTTCAATACAACACAATAAGTGTGTTAATATGAAAGCAAAAAGTAATGGAGTAATGTTTTGCCATTCCCCACCTATTTTCAAGTTGAACATTCTACAATATATAGGCTTCATGGTTCTCTGTTTTTTCTGCTTATGCATACTAAATTATCACAAATATATTCTTGGAAGAGTCACGAATGGGAGTGCATTTGTGACATATTGTCACAAATAAAAATAGAAGAAAGATTACAATGTACATAGACCACTTGGCCTTTCTTGCTCATTTGATTGCTACATTTGATTGCTACATAGGCTTCAATGATTTGCAGAAAAATAATCCTGTAGATATACTAAAAGTGAATTATCTTTATTAATACTGAATCACATTATGTATTTTCATGGATTATAAAATATTATGGGCAGAATGGTTGCATAGTGGTTTGCATTGATGCTTCATAGCACACAGGTTCAAGTTTCAGGGTGCTATCTGCTTGGATTTTGTATAGATAGATAAGACTTTATTGATTCTGAAAGGAAATTGAGGTGTTACAGTGGCCCAGCCGAAAACAAGCAAAAACAGACATCAGAGTAGACTAAAAATTAAAATTAAATAAATACAGCAATATGAAATAAAATAGAGAGAGTTAGGTGTTTGCAAAATATGCTCATATTCGCTGTAAAACAATAAAGTATGTGCAAAATGCGAATAGGTATATACACATTGAAAGTACCACACTATAAATAGTATATTAATGCAGTGTACAAAAAGTACAATAGTGCAACATGCTGTCTATAGATGAGCAGATGAAGGGCTAACAGTCCTAGCCTAAGGCAGAGTTATACACCCTGACAGCTGCCAGGAGGAAGGACCTGCAGAAACGTTCCCTTGAACACCGTAGCTGGAGCAGTCTGTTGCTAAATGTTCTCCACTGCCTAATAACAGTCCCATGTAGTGGATGAGAGGAGTTGTTCATGATGGCTGTGAGCTTGGTCAGCAATCTCCTCTCAGCCACCACCTCCAGGGGGTCAAGGCTCAGCCCCAACACAGAGCCAGCCTTCTTGATGAGTGTATTGAGTCTATTTACATCTCTTGCCACGATGCTGCTGCCCCAGCACACAACAGCGTAGAAGATGGCCACTGCCACCGCTGATTCATAAAAAATGTGTAGCAGTGTTCCACACACACCAAAGGACCTGAGCTTCCTAAGTACATAGAGTCGGCTCTGACCTTTCTTGTACAGGGTGTCAGCGTTAACAGTCCATTCCAGCTTATCATCCAGGTGTACCCCTAAATACTTGTAGGATTATAAATACTGCTTGTATGCATTCCCTTCACCTCAAACTCAGCTTTTTAAAATCTGAGCCTTTTCCCTTTCTTCTTCTCTCTTTGGCTCCTGCCTAGAAAACTGTAACTGCCATTGCTATTTACCTATTCCAATCTTTCAGAATTTAAGAATGTTTACTTTGACTTCTCTCTTTCTCATTTTCCTCATGCTGCTTCATTATTCCAGTCTCTACAATGGCTCATAATTTCTATATGTATCTAATTCAAGGTTCCAGTTCTTGCTTTGTATTCTCAATTACTTTGCTACTGATCATCTTTCGTTTAACGTTCCCTGCACACCCCTCACCCTCTCTGCTGTTCCTACTCTTCATCCAGACCTATACACCCTCACACCCCCGTGGTTTAACAAATTGCCCCCTGAAATCAGAATTGCTCAGTTTCCGACCACCTTTGTGGCTTGTCAAGACACAACTGTTTAGGCAGAACCTGTGATCTCTCAGTTCTCAAATAAAACCTTTAACATTAGTGGTACTAATGTTTTACCCAGACTCTCAATGTAATTTGGAAATTGCATGGAAACCTTACGAACAGGGTGTTTATATTATTCTACTGTATTCACATGTAGACATAGATGCCTAAGCAAATAAACAATAAAATACAAATCAAGGATGTAAAATTCCAAGGTATTTTTTCTCTTCATGAATTAGCACAGACTGGACAGTTCCAAACCACTCTTAACCATAAACTTTTTAGAATAAGTAATTAATTAAATGTAGTGAATAGTATATTAAACTAAATGAAATAAAAAGATTTTAAAGGCTGAAATAAATCTACCATAAGACGAAAACATAAGAATGTGAAAAAATAAGCAAATGTTTTAAAATACAACAACATATTAGAAATGTGCATTACTTAAAACAGCAGATTTTCTATAGATCAACATTAAATTGATGCCAGACATATGTTTGGTTAAGATTATTTGATTTCAACACATTTGCACAAGCATGTTTCACAACCATCTATTTACACAAAAAAAATATTTATGTGAACAATAATTCGTCAGAAAGGATCACCAAACAGATAACAATAAAGGACACCAGATATATGCCTTCTCTTTTAAGACTTATATTTTTATGTAGTTCAGGTGGGTAGCTGCGTCAGCATGCGTAGGCTGCAAAGGAACAAGTAATAGGTTTATTCCATGCTGAAAAAAAGAAGAAAGAGAACACAACGTTTCGGCCGTGGAGCCTTCTTCAGGTGTCACACGTTGTGTTCTCTTTCTTCTTTTTTTCAGCATGGAATAAACCTATTACTTGTTCCTTATATTTTTATGTATGTGTTCATGCAAGCAGGGCCTTGTTTTGTTCTGTTTTCAGGTCTGTGGAATGAGTAGCTACAGCACTGTATGTTGTAGCCCTTCGTTATTAATATTTTGTCATGGCCTGTACTGAAGAAATTAGCATTTGTAATTCCAATTTGTCTGATTCAAGTCTTTAAAAAATATTTATTAAATGTTGCAATATAATTACATTTGAAATGAAATACTAACATAATGGTGTGAAATGAAAGAATCTCTAAAACTCTGTTTCAGGTTTAAATGAGAGAAATACGTTTACAAACACTTTAACCTCTTTAAAGAAGGTTATCAGTAGAACACACATGCATTGATTTACTCTGGCCAAAGATAATGATGTTAAGTGTGTTCCTTATTGCTTCTTTCTGCTAATATAAAATATAATCAAGAGATTATATTTAGGCTAAATTATTTATGTTGTGTCAATGCTTAACTATGAAATGAAACTGAAGCGTTTCCCGCTGATATTTAATGGGAATATTCAATACTTATGCCAGAAGTCATTTGGTTCCCTAAAGGATTTGTGCACTCCTCCACAGAAGCACCACTGGAGTATAATGTAATTCAGTGTAATTGATAACACATGTTAAGGCAAAGCAGGGCCTTGTTTCGTTCTTACATATGAATATTTTGTCATGGGCTGAACTGAAGAAAATAGCATTTGTAGTTTCATTTTGTTTAATTCTGTAAACAATATTTATAAATGTTACAAATTAATTACTAAGACAACAGGAGTCTTGATTAAAAATAACCCTTCAATTGATAACCTAATTTATTAATAACAATTTTCGCCAGTTAATCGTCTTAAAACACAAATATTTAGCCTCTTTTCCCGCATAGGTATTGCTCCTGCTTTTGTAACAGTATAACCATAAACGAGAAAAATATGTAATTGTTGTTGCGTTTGGTTAAGTGCAAATTTGTGTGGATTTTCAAATGTTCTCAGTAGATACTCCCTTATACAGTGATAGCCTTACATAGTGCGCTTACTTGATTGGCACTGCTTATACTAAAAGGTGGAGGCAATTTCCAGTATTGTTTAAATGGAGGAATTTAATTTATGTTTCTGGAAAGTTTTTTTCTCGAAACCGAGTTACAATTTTCCCGGTGGTTTCAATTATTCCCATTATCTTGTAACGGTCATTTCAGGATTTGATCTTATATGAGCGTGGTTCATTATTTTAAATAAATTAAATTTAAAATGTATTCCATAGAATTAACCAGTTACTTCACAGTCGTATGCCCCTTTGTGTCTAAGGCTTGAAATATTTTAAAAATACGGGTACTTCATTTTTTTGTAAATCTCAACAGATTGGGACGTGACTACGTTTTTTATAAAAAATATCACTAAATACCTTTATGCGTGTTACAATAAAATGATGTAAAAAAAACGGTTAACCAGTACAGAAACTAAGAACAAAGCAGTAATGTAGACAATTTTATTAAGGCACCGACCCACATAAAAAACGAAAATAAAAATCACGCTAATACATGGACGACTTACGATGCGAAGACGTGAAGAAAATGTTCATATCTGATCAAATCTACTGTTGTAAAAACCTCGCTTTGCAATGATTCGAAATCATTGTAGATCACGTTTTACAGTAAAACCAACGAAAATAAATCTAACTATAAATTTCCAGTCTTTTCCCGAAATAATATATACTAATTTACGGATAACATACAAAAAATAACATTATCCCACTTAAAGTTGTTTGCAAAGAAAATGGTTACTCTTTTCGATGACGTAAGTGTCCGAAGTGGTCTGAAGAACCTAAGACCCTCCTCTTCTGGAAAACAGATTCCCCGTTAAATAAAAACCCTCCCTGGAGCAGCCCTTCTCCCATTCCGAAGAGCTGGGGTTTGGTGATTGCAAGGGAAAGGGTTCAGGCCATTTGTCTTGGAAGTTTAACCTTAGGAATTAGATTGGCCGAGTGCTGATCTTTTTGAGGTTACTTTTGCTAGGGATAGCCCTACAAATAACAGTATTCGTGTTCGTGCAAAAGGTTTCAAAACTATAGAATGACTTGTAGCCCTATGATAGGCTTAATAGTTGCGTTATGTTTCAGCAGTGTTGTCCATTGTATGCCCAAACATGCAACTAAAAGCAAAAGGCAGGCTCAGCAAGTAATCCCTTTCGACGAAGCATCGCTTTCTCAGGGTAAGCATACCGTTTATCCCTACCAAAACTGGAATTTGGGTTCTCGCTTTTTATTATTGTATACCATTAAGTTCGCAGTTTAAAATTTAAAGGAGAGGTGATTGACCTGAGTTTTATATGACGATTTATGTTTAATGCGTTGCAATTACTGTGTAATTGGGCAGTTGCTGTTTTTGCAGTTTTTCTATTCGAAGAGCAGTTTATAAAGTAATAGCATCTCTTTTCTAGTAACGTACAACTTTACAGTAAGAAAGCTTGTTAGTGTTAATTTTACGGTGTTACTTTTACTTTTCTGTTTTTTTTTTTCAGAAAAGTAGGCGTACAAGATGAAGTACCTCAAAACTACGTATTGCCCTGTTTCCAGAATCTTGCCCATAGGTCGACTAAGCTCGAGGGTGTTATTTAACAATAATATGAAAGGAACACTGCGCCTTAAATATCTTTATGGTATAATTGATGAGGGGGATATTTTAACGCATAGTGAAATTGATTTTTCTTTATCTTCTTAGACGGCTGCCTTGAGGGCGAACGATTTTTTAGAATTAACGAACAATGGGAGCGTCCGTACCTGGGCAGTACATTGGTTTGCACTTGTCATGGAAGTAGAGGAATTAAATGCAAAACTAAACCAGAAGGTGAGTTTGCAGGAAGTTACTTTTTCCATAATATAATTACAGTACACTTCTGTAAAACTGGAATTAGAATAGGATATTTTTTGCGTACATCAACACACGGATACAAGGAAAGAATAAATATCATCAGATGGTGCATTGTAACTAAACTCCTAACTGTTCAATGCTTGCTTTCCTGTAGCTGAAGAAACTTGCTATGATAAAATCAATGGACGGACCTATCGCGTGGGAGAAACATATGAGCGTCCAAAGGATGGCATGATCTGGGACTGTACTTGCATTGGTTCTGGCAGAGGAAAGATTAGCTGCACAATTGCTAGTGAGTTTCATGTGGACCACGGTGTTAAAGGTTTTTTGGGCATGTTGTTGACTCTAAAACTTTTAACTGAAATAACATGGACTACTCCTTAATGGCTTGATTTTAAATTAAATTATTAAATTTGTAGTAAAATATACTTTATAATAGACATTACATTACAAACCTTAACTGTATTTGTCCCTTTTATACCCTGTAATAATTTTATTTCTGTATCAAGGTGTTTAGTCTTGCTAGTCATTGTGAAGTTGAATGTATTAAAAAAACAAAGATACTTTGTACTACACACCAGAACCACATCTGTAATGTCTTTGAAAACATAAATATTACTAGATGAAGCTGTTTGGCCCACCTAGCTTGCTGTTAGTAGCAAAATTCAGAATTTCTCAGTAATTTCTTGTAAAAAAGACTTAGGTTCAACATCATGGATGGATTACTTTAATCAGACTCCAACAAGCCTTTGTATAAAGAAAAAAAGTGGTTCCCCTTTTCAATTTGAAATGTGTTTTTTTCTTTGTTGTTGTTTCTGTTTTCCCATGTTTCATGATTTACTACTGATTGTGAACCCAAAGTGCATTGGGTTGAATTTGTGCTTTGGTAGTCTTTTATGTTTAAGACTGAAAACATGCAGTTCTGGACTGATTAGCTTTAGAAAACTGTAATACTATCTTAAATGAAGTCTTAAAATTAAGTAAGCTTATAACAGCTGATGAATTCAACTCAAACATTTAGCTCTCTAACACTCTTGGCTTCACTTACTGCTTCCCTATATTTAGATATGTGTGTGTACTTTTACAGTTTCATAAGTATCTTAAATGTCAGTGTTTAATGTCTTAGATTATATTTTGTTGTGGATGTGAAATTGCACATCTGCTTTAAATGTCATGTCACCTGATTTCGCATTCCTCATTAATTTCTTCTGTAGCTTACACAGTAACTAACTCTCCTATTTTTAATCTGTGTTTTTTGCTGTTTTACTATAGCTATAATCTGAATACAGACCCCTCTAGTACTCCACTAATTATATCACTGTAATTTGAGCAATAATTCACCCCTTTCCTGTACTGTTTTCTGCTCAGCAACATGCATTAACTTGAGTGCCTCCCAACAGCAATTTAATAATTGAAAATAATCCTTTGTTGCAATGATGGTGTCTAAAGCTTTACTTGTAATAGGAGCATGTTTTATGGTCTTAAGTTAGTTCAGTTTTGTCACCATATATAGATGTTTTACATTCGTTTTCTTTATACATGTATGTTTACAGAACATACGTCTGAGAGCTTCCCTCTCTAACCTTTATGTGTATATTTACTGAGAAGCATTAGTTCTGATGCTCATTTTTTGTGCTTTTAATGCTTCAGTGTGTACATATATACTGTACATAGCAAAAGAGGAGCCTATGGCAAATGTCTTGTTTCTGACAGACCGGTGTCATGAGGGAGGACAATCTTACAAGATTGGAGATACCTGGAGGAGGCCACATGAGACAGGGGGCTACATGCTGGAGTGTGTTTGTCTGGGAAATGGAAAGGGAGAATGGACCTGCAAACCTGTTGGTAAGCAGCAGGAAAATAAACATTTCTGGTGGTTTGTAACATAATTATAATGTAGATGTAGATATCTGAAGTTTCCAATCCAGTCATGTTTAGTCTTTTATTAACTAGTATTAAGTTACTCATAGTATCCACTAGAGACTGTTCAGAAGTTGTGGATATTACTCAGTTAGGTACTTAATCTAATTTAACATTAAAATGGTAGGGGGGGAGACATGAACAGAAATACCTAAGGATTCTTCAAGTGTCAGGTACAGTATTTTAGTCAGTTTGTCCTGTTTTTCTCTGTATGGTTATTCCTCAAAGCTCGTTCTTTCGGCCGTTGTCCAGTTTATTTGTCCTGTCTTCTTTAGCTGAGGGATGCTATGACAACACTGCTGGCACATCTTATGTGGTTGGTGAGATATGGGAGAAACCCTACCAAGGCTGGATGATGGTAGACTGCACCTGTTTGGGAGAAGGAAATGGACATATCACCTGCACTTCTAGAAGTAAGCAGTTAGAGCAATTTGAATAAATGCTAATTTCTTATGTCTTTCTTTTAGGGGATTTCTTTTGGACACACACCACTTTGATACATCTAAATATATCGCAAAAACATAGCCCGTATCATTACACATGCATAACTCCTTACAACATAGTCATCACGTATTTGGTTTATGCTGAGAATTGCATTAACCTTGCTATTTATTTGTAGTAATATAGAACAAAATAAAGGAACAAGTAATAGGTTTATTCCATGCTGAAAAAAAGAAGAAAGAAAACAATGTTTCGGTCGTGGAGCCTTCTTCCTGTTGTTTTCTTTCTTCTTTTTTTCAGCATGGAATAAACCTATTACTTGTTCCTTTGCAGCCTATGCATGCTGACGCAGCTACCCACCTTAACTAGAACAAAATAAATATTTGTATGTTTGATCTATGTTAAGGAACCCTTAAATGTTTACCAAGGGGAAGAAGTTGATATTCAGAATTCAAAATATATATTGGGTCTGCTGATAGTAGCGTGTCTAATTTTAATGGATTTTTCAAATCACTCTGCAACTCACAACTGGTAACCCACTGAAGCTAAGCAGGTGTGACCCTGGTCAGTACCTGGATGGGAGACCTCCTGGGAAAAACTAAGGTTGCTGCTGGAAGAGGTGTTAGTGGGGCCAGCAGGGGGCGCTCACCCTGCGGTCCACGTGGGTCCTAATGCCCCAGTATAGTGACGGGGACACTATACTGTAAACAGGCGCCGTCCTTCGGATGAGACGTAAAACTGAAGTCCTGACTCTCTGTGGTCATTAAAAATACCAGGGCGTTTCTCGAAAAGAGTAGGGGTGTAACCCCGGCGTCCTGGCCAAATTTCCCATTGGCCTTTACCAATTATGGCCTCCTAATAATCCCCATCTATGAATTGGCTTCATTACTCTGCTCTCCTCCCCACTGATAGCTGGTGTGTAGTGAGCATTCTGGCGCACTATGCCTGCCGTCATATCATCCAGGTGGGGCTGCACATTAGTGGTGGTGGAGGGTAGTCCCCATTACCTGTAAAGCAATTTGAGTGGAGTGTCCAGAAAAGCACTATATAAGTGTAAGCAATTATTATTATTTCAAATTAAAAGCGCAATCTTACTTAAATTGTCAGGAACATCGGTTTAATTAATCTATTTGGAGTAACTCATCTTTGCGATACATTTTTATTCAGTATACTTTAGACATAGAGCAAAATGGCATGTTAAAAATAAATAAAAATGAGAAGTAGCGTGATATAGAATTTGTTAGGTTTTCAGGTGTTCATTTGTACAGGTTTATCCATTTTCACATGGATTATTGTTAATATGAATGCTACTGGGGTTTGTTTTTGCTCTGCTCACAAATACATCTTTTGCAAAGTTTATAAATATGAATATTTAACCAGCATAAGTAATTGGAATGTATATTGTATAAACTTAACTCATTCTCTACTTATGACAAAAGAATAATACTTGCTGCAGACTAACATTTTTTTTAATATAAATTAAATCTCAAATGAGCATAATATTTCAAAAGGCATATTTTTATCTTTTTGATAGACAGATGCAATGACCAGGATACTAGGACTTCTTACAGAATTGGAGACACCTGGACCAAGACAGACGCTAGAGGCCACATTCTTCAATGCATCTGTACAGGAAATGGTCGAGGGGAATGGAAATGTGAAAGACATGCTTCTCTGCACACTTCAAGCCTTGGTAAACTAGTTTCACATTCAATTTTTAAAGTAATACATTTGTGAAATTTTTTTAAACTAATTTAAATTGTTAATTTTTTTGTAAGGCACGGGTTCTCAAGTGGTTACTAGTGTTCAGACCACTGTACATCAGCCCCTGCCCCAGCCAGAGCCTCCGACAGAGGGAACCTGTCTGACTGATTCAGGTGTTTCTTATTTCGAGGGGATGCAATGGATAAAGACACAAGGAAGCAAACAAATGCTTTGTACATGCTTGGGTAATGGAGTGAGCTGTGTGGAATGGGGTGAGTTGCAAGCATAATCGGTGTTAATTTGCCATAGATTCAGAACAGTGTTTGCTGAAGGGCAGTGTTTGTCAGCCTGTGTATTGTGGCACATAGATGCATCTTCAGATGTTAGTTTGCCAAAAAGTTTGGAAGAGCTGCATATAAGGAAAAAGGTGAATAAATATTGTTCATACTTAGCCTTTATGCAATAACCAAACCAAACGTTTTGTATATACCACAAAACGTGGGAGACAGAAGGATGTTTACATGGGGCTTATATGTGGTGACATTTTTTTAGGTTTGATGGATATATAAGCAAGAGCTCTGTTTCACAGTCATAAGTTCCTGCCAGGATAAGGAATATATGTACTTCAAAGCACATTTGGATTACACTTGAAAATAATGTGAGGGGGGAGTGGGGAAGCTATGCCACAGTTATTTTGTAATTTATGTAAGTGTGCTGTGGGATGGAAAAGATTGAGAAATACCACTCTACAGTTGCAAACTTATTTGACTGGCCTGTAATAGAAAAGTAAACCTTTGGCTTTCAGGTTAAGGATCTATAGTTCTTTAAAAGGGTTTAGTTTGATATTTTCTGCACTGAATAATTTATTTGGACTGAACCGCATGAGTTGGCACTTTGAATGCCCATCTATTTTTTTGTAAAGCTTAAAGTTGCCATGTCTCCTGTTTCACTGGTTGATCTACATTTAAGGATGAGTTGGATACATTAGTTTATTAAGCCTACTGGGGAGGAAACTTTAAAAAATGGCTATTAAATTCTCAGTTATTTGCAGAAGTCACTTTGGATTAAATCATAAAACAAATTAATTAATCTGGTATAAACTCGATTGAGCACCCCTGAATTCGCAAAAGCCCTGGGCAACACCAAGAACAAATTCCAAACCAATAACTCATATCCTTCAGTGCTAGAAGAATAAGTGATAACACACCAGAACTTGTTGCTGCTGAACTATATATGGATTATGTCACTATAAGAACCACATATTTAGGTGAGGATGATAGAGAAAAAATCTAAAATTTATACGTATACACTTCTTCAGAAGAATAGGTGTTATAGGGTTATATACTTGACACCCAAAACAACCAGTTATATTTAGGGCGTAAGTATAATAGAACTACTGTGAAATTGATCATTATAGGTATCTTTTAAAGCATACTCCAAAATTCCTCAAAGGACAGAATGTAAAAAATGAGGATTAAGGCAGAATTTGCAAGGGTAATAGTGGCAGATGGATACAGAATCATTAAGATGATGGTAATACTAAGTCTAGGAAACTATGGCCTAATGATTCGATGGAGATATTAAGAGAGGGGTCTTGAGATACTGCATAAAATGGACCACAATTCAGAGAGAGAGTGCTACTTGCGTAGCTGAAAGAAAATTGCATTGCCAGGAGGTAGACCAAAAAAATTATTGGAAGAAGCAAAAAATTAGAATCGGTTTTACAGGACTAGAACAAAAGTGGGAGTAAGTATTTCACATAGATATTTACAATAGAATACATCGATAACATACTCCTTTGGAGTATACTGCAGCAGTACTGGTAAGTTTTAATGTAACCAAAAATAAGAACCTGGAAGACCTAGGATAGTTAAATTGCTGGGGTTGTTGGTATTTTCCCAGTTATGGTTTGAGGGTTATTCATAGACCCTTAACTAGGATATTTCAACTCCTTGTAAAGGGCAGTACACACAGATTGAAAAATCACAAATGTAGCCCCAATCCAGAAAAAGGTGACAGAACTGAAGTGGAAAACAGTACCAGTCAGTCTTGTTAGTGGTAAAGTTATAAAAATTATAATTTGACCTAAATTAGACAAATACTTGGAAAGCAACAGCATTTTAAGAGACCAGCACTATAGGTTTAAAAAGGGTAAGGTCTTGTTTGCAGATTTCTAGCAAGTTAAGTGAGAAGGACATTGGATATGCTTTAATTTTTATGACGTGATGCGGTTTGATAAGGTCCTTCATAAAAGGTTGATTCTTCAGTTTGAAGACATTACTTTGGATTCCAATATACCCATGGATCAGACTAGTTATAACGCATAGTAATTATTAAAGGGGCATGGCCTCTAACTGGGTAGATGTGAATGCTTCTTAGGCCCAATACCATTCATGATTTATAAATTACAAAACACTAAAGTTCTTGATACTAAAAAGGAGTGAGTGGCAAACTCAAGTGCTTCACACTGGTAGTGGGAGCATGCACTATACCTCTTGAAAGGGTGCCTCAGGAAGAGATCTGGGTGTTTTGCCTTTTCTATATTCTCATGATGGCAACATATAGAGAACATTTGTACAATTTTGATCACCATACTATAGAAAAAAATACTATTTTATATGAACAGGTTGGGGGAGCTTCTTAATGTCTTTAGAAGAGAGATGATATAGAGTAAATTAGATCAGAAGTAAAGAATCCCAAGGGGTATTGCCAGATTCAACCTAGTGTACTGTTTTTCACTTGTTAGTGAAATAAGGACGTTGGTTCACAATTGGAAACTTCAGGGAAATTTTATGACAGAATAGGAAACTCAGAGAATAGTTGGAAAAGGCTTCTTGGCTAGCTGGTTGAGACCCAAACTGTGGTCACCAATGAAACAGCAAGACAAAATTATGGATTTACTTGGCTTCTAGAGTACCAAGCAAGATGGGCCAAATTGTCCTCACTCATCCACACTGATGTTCTTGTATCCACAGATTATTTTAAAGATTATTTTTTTTTGTTTTAGATGGTCAGTCACAGGTTTATGGTGGCAACTCAGATGGGCAGCCTTGTGTTTTCCCATTTGTATTTATGGGTAAGTCCTACTACTCCTGTACTTCTGAGGGACGCAGTGATGGACAGCTGTGGTGCAGCACCTCCTCCAATTATGAACAGGACCGTATGTACTCCTTCTGCACACAGAAGAATGGTGAGTGTCAAAAGACACTATTACAATGGTGTGGTATTTTTCCTCTGCATTAGAGTGAGGGTTAATGTCCAGAAGGAGACTTATTTACGAAGCATACTTTTTATTGGAATTTAAAATGATATACGGAAAGAAGATCATCTTTGGTTTATATGTGGTATATTTATTTTCACAGAATATAATGAATCCTTTTTTTTTCCTGCTCTTGCTCCACTATCCCAGTCGAGGTAGACTTAAGGCTGACCACAGTGGATAAAATAAACCTTCTTAAACATAAATTAGAGATCAGAAGCTATTAGAACTAGAAAGTAAGTTTAATCTTTAATAAAATTAAGATTTCCTGGAGAATGACTTTTTTTTTCTAATTTTCATGACAGTGTTGGTAACAACAAGAGGTGGCAACTCCAATGGAGCTTTGTGTCACTTCCCTTTCTTGTACAATGGGCGCAATTACACAGACTGCACTGCGGACGGAAGAAGGGATGGGATGAAATGGTGTGGCACCACCAGCAATTATGATGGTGACCAGAAGTTTGGGTTCTGCCCAATGGCAGGTAAAGCAGCTAGCAGGAGACTGTTAAAATAGTCTTTTAAAAGAGGTGTGGAGCTCTTTTTGAAATGTAAATGTTTACTTTTGAGACACTAGTAGGATACCAATTGAAACCACATACTTTTAAGACAAAACCTTTGTGTTTCCACACTTTATTGATTTCCATGACATTGTTCACTAAGATGGTGGGGGGTGGGAGGGTTATTCATTATGAATATTTTCAGAGTTATATACAAAGCCCTCAATGTAGTAGGTCAGTAAAATCAACACTTTTTTCAGTGTGTTCAAGCAGTTTGTATTTGTAATGGTGTTTTGCTGTAGCTAGTGTTTTTGTGGTGGTTGTGTTGGCAGTTTGTTCTGGGTTATTTTCTTGCTGCGTAATGAATCGCTACCCAGTACTTTGAGGCATTTTCTTGCATATAACCTTTTCTGTTAATACCAGAATTTATTATTCTATTAGTATCATGAGTTAAAATGTCAGTAAAAACATTGGAGCTCATGCTTGACAAATGAGGTGGTGTTCTTAAGCACACCCCTTAAAAAAAAGTTCTGAAGTATAGTGAAGGTAATGTTTTCCTGGGCATGCATTGCCATCTCTGTAACTGCCTGACTCATCCTTATTGATGTAATTAATGATGGTATTAGACTACATTCTGCTGTTTATAGAAATGTTTGTGCTGCAACATGTAGAAGATTAACAGTAAAATTGAATGTTTTGGCAAAAACTAAAGTACAGCTTTCACATAGTTATGACAAATAGTCCTAATTGTAATGTAAAACACTGGTAGTTGTGTATATAACAAATTTCTTAGTGGTGCTTGCCCATTAGGAGTTTTTATAAAACCATTACTGTATGGCTTTGTAAGAGTCTAGCAAGAGGTTACTAAACCGACATTACTAAACCGATTTCTCCAAAGCTGAAGTCTGCCTGGCATGTTCACAATCTGGCTTTTGTCCATGAATAACAGTGTCCAGATTTCTCTTTACTCTTTGACATACTTGATTCCCCACTGCTCCCCTTAGGGCTTCTGAGTCACATCCTTGATTTCCCTACCACCCTTCTTGGAACATCCTGTCCTTTTAACAGTCATGTCCAAATATCCTGAAACAATTTACTTCTTCTGTATTGTTTGTTCAAATGTTCTGATTGGAATAGTTAAGTTGTATTCAGTAGACCAGTGTTTTCTGCTTTTACTAATTTCAATATGCATTTTATAATACAATTCTAAACTGCATGGAGCACCATTACATACATTTGTTTTCATTTGTATGCAAGATGAACATTTCTGCGGTTGTTAAGTGGCATGTCAGATTTATTGAATGCTGAGTTTCATTTATTTGCAGCTCATGAGGAGGTGTGTACCACTAGTGAGGGAGTTATGTACCGTGTTGGTGACCAATGGGACAAGCGACATGATGTCCTAGGACACATGATGAGGTGTACATGTGTTGGAAATGGACGTGGTGAATGGAGCTGCATTGCGTATTCACAGCTGAGAGGTCTGTCTTAAGATTGGATTACTTTTTTTTAAACAAAGATGTAATGTAAAAGGCAATAAATCTGTTATTATCTGATGCATTATTAGGTTATAAGGTTGTTTTAATCCTATTTAAATTATACCTATCAGAATATTTCTCTATTTTTTCTGTGCTTTAAATAGATCAGTGCATTGTTGATGGCCTGACATATGAGGTGAACCAGACCTTTACTAAACGTCACGATGAAGGCTATATGATGAACTGTACATGTTATGGACAAGGCCGTGGCAGATGGAAATGTGATGCTATTGGTAGGTTATTTTTATGTGTAAGATATTTTTTTTTTTTCCATTTGGATACATTTTAAGGCTTTTATCTGATAAACCACTTCATGATCCTTGTAAAGTCTTGGTCACTGTCAACAATTTTGTTTGTCCCATGTCTGTGAGGATTTGTAGTGCTACAGCACAAAAAATAGTGGAAAAACAACAAACCAAATCAAAAAGAATAAGCACTAGAAATTAAATTTAGTACCTCATTTGTATTGACCATGTGCAGTCATAGCTGAGGTGTACAGTCACTGGTTGAGGTATTTACTTAATGGCTGCCTGCATTTTCCCCAGGTACAGAGGACTGGGAAGTATTTTTTGTACATCTAAGATCAAACAGGATTCGAGCAAGCACTGCAATTGAAATACATTTTCCAGTAACACCTATTAAGTATGCTGGGAATGCCATTTCCAAATTCATTTTATACCAAAATTTAAAGTTAATTTTAGAAGATAAGTAAAGGTTTATTCTGGAAAGAGGGGGAAAAAAGAACCACAACTTTTCAGCTGTGGAGCGTTCTTCGGGTGACAGCCGAAACATTGTGGTTCTTCTCTTTTCAACTTCAAATAAACCTTTACTTGTTCCTTTGCAGCCTTATGCATGTTGATGCAGCTACCTATTTGAACTAATTTTAGAAGATGTCAATTCATAAAATTCAATATTTAAGAACAGCAATGCTGCTGAAACAAGGAATCCCCTTTTTGCTTGGTTGACCTTAAAGGTATTGATCCAATCTGGCTTCTAATTTAACATATGCTTTTATGTTTTCATTATGGTAACACTATACATTGTTGCAAATGCATCTCAAAAGTAATTGTCAGGATTCAGATCTCTATTATGTTTTAAGATGACCCCTGGGCTGCCCCAAAGCTCTTTCTTTTTCTGTGAATATTCCCAAAATGAAAAGGTATCCCAGGTAGACCTACATTTAATTCACAGTTAACCACCTTTTTAAAATGATAAATGACCAATAGCAAGCAGTTTGTATAATCCTTAAATTTTTACAGAATTAGTTTATTTAATTGTTATAGAACTATACATTTTAGAAACCTCTTGAAATACATCCTTCTTTGCACAGTAGGGGTCTATAACAGCCAAACTTGCATATAACCATGTTCACCCTTTCTGTGTCAAATGTACTACATATGATATACTGTATGGTTAAAAGACTCGGGTAACCCTCCCTATAGTGATTAGCTTTAGCTTTGTTAATAAAAACATTGATTAAAATAACAGTAAACAAACATCAGCCTTTCTGATGGGTGGTTGCTTACAGCTATTATTCTGATTCATGATTAGCACACCCCACTGTAATTTAAAAGGCCGTAAAACTGACAATGAGTCTATAAAGTCATCTCCAGCCAATCGTTCACCAAAACAGAACCAGGAACATTTGTTACAACACAAAAACATTGAAAAGTAATGGGTACTTGGGCAGGGATAGGCTCACTCACTTGCTAGATTTATCCCGCAGTCCTAGACAGTTGCATGGCCTTTGGTGGGTTTCATCCCACACTTCTTCCATGTGAGACCGCATTTGTCAGACTGAATCACAAATTTGTGTTAAGTTTGCAGATGTAGGGACTGTACTGACAAAAGTTAACTACTTAAAGCGCTTTGAGAATTTACTTTTAAAAGCACTATAAACTTCTGTTATACTGTATTTTTAGTACACTATATCCAGCATATACTTAAAACTAGCTCATATTGATAATAGTAGCCTTAAAATTTGTTTTACTTGTATAAAAACAGGAAAAATCTTGCAATGGGAGAATTTTTTATGCAGCCAGATTATTGGTATGTGTCCACAGCTGCTCCTGCACATTGTGGAAATCAACAACATCATGGATATGTTTTCTAGAGCTATACTTTGTAAACTGGCAGTAAAACCTGTATTTATTCCTTAATTGAAACAGTTTCATTTTTTTTAAAGTTTAACCAAATACAGGAACTCAATCTCTGGGACTTGTGAAGGTTTTCATTGAAATAAGATGTTTTGCTACTGAACATGTTAATTACAACCATTGGAACAAGTTTGCAATATTTCAATTATAGGGTTTCAAGTACACTGCTCAAATGGCAATTTCTGGGGCAGATAGTATCTCTTTGCAGTTGAAATGAAATGGGAGATCTCGTTTGCACAGAACAGCAGGAAAGCAAAACATTGTAGTGTGAATACCATTAGAGTTTCTTTGGTCTGGGAACAAATTTCATCAAATTTACTGAGGAGAGCGGTAAAATGGGTAGCTGCTGGTACAGCCATCAATTTTATTTCAGGATAGTAGACTGTAAAAAAAAAAGTTATACATGTATATAAACAGCTTTTTATTTATCATTGTAGACCAGTGCCAAGAACCAGAGACTCGAGTGTTTTACCAAGTTGGCGAATCCTGGGATAAGGTTATCCATGGCATCCAATATAAGTGTTACTGCTATGGGAATGGAATTGGAGAGCTTAGCTGCCTACCTTCTCAGCCTCACAGTGGTAAGGAAGCTCCTATACCTTCTATGTCACCTTTTGGGGAAAACTTAAAAATAAGTGTTTGGTTTTACTTTTGTTACCATCAAGCCTTCATCAAATACAAATATTTTTTTAAACATGGAACTTTCCAAGTATAAAAACAAGTGCCTACCAGGGAGGAGATTTATGATTAATTTTTACAGTAACATTACAAGATTTTCAGTAACATCCAACAGTATTTAGTCACTTTATTTCAAATACGGAATAAAATCTACTAGAATACTTGTATTACTATTCTCAAATGATCAGTTGAGAGCTGTATTACTTTAAAGTGTTATATTGGAGGAAGGGCTTTGTTTGCTCCACCCTCCTTCCTTTTATTTGTTTACCCCTAGGGATCTTAGATTGCCATAATAGGAGGTCACAGCAGGGAGTTACTTTATTACCCATGTTGACTTCTTTCTCCCTGGATTGTGCTTATATCTTAAACATTTGCTTTTCTTAAGAACAATAGTTTTCACAAAGAATTCTGATCCTGATTTACAATCAAACGTTTTAAGCTAAAATTTTAAACATTCATGAAGCCTATTTACATGTCTTTGATCATGTCATATTGCTGAGGATAAACAAAAAGTGGATACATTTCCAAAATTACTAGTGCTGGTAAATTACTGAAAATTAGTTCCGACTAAGTGGTGGTTAATAGTGGAATGTTATGCACTTCTAAGTGATATTTAAATACTGCATACAGCGAATTTGGCCTATAGGTTGCAACCTATGTAATTAGGATAAATTGAGTCCAGATTCCACTAAGGTACAGAAGAAAACCTTCATTTAACTTGTAATTCAGGGGTGGTGAACCACCTTTAGGTTTAATGCTATTCATATGTCCTTGACAAAATAAATATTTCCATAAACTTTTAATCAGATGTTAAAACTGATCATTTCTGTTAAGTGGTTGGTTATTATAATAATCTCTTACACTTATATAGCCCTTTTCTGGACACTCCACTCTAAGCACTTTACAGGTAATGGGGATTCCCCTCCACCACCACCAATGTGCAGCATCCACCTGGATTATGCATTGGCAGAACGCTCACCACACATCAGCTATTAGTGGGGAGGAGTAATGTAGCCAATTTATAGATGGGGATTATTAGGATGCCATGATTGGTAAGGACCGATGGGCAATTTGGCCAGGATGCTTGGGTTACATCCTCACTCTTTTCGAGAAACGCCCTGGGATTTTTAATGACCACAGAGAGTCAGGACCTTGGATTTACATCTCAGCCCAAGGACGGCGCTTTTTTACAGTATAGTATCCCCATCACTTTACGGGGGCATTAGGACCCACATAGACTGCAGGGTGAGCGTCCCCTGCTGGCCCCATTAACAAATCTTCATTTCGGTCATATGTTGATCCCAGAAGTTTAAAAGAGGTACCAGTTGAAAAGAAAAGCTTGTGATTGTGATAAGTTGTAGGTAGCTTGGTGGGGGGGTGAACAACCATTCATCCTTTTGAGAGTATTAGGAAAATATGAATAATTGGGCTCCATCTATTTCATAGGCAAAGGTATCTTGAATTCTAGAATGTTTAATATTGTGTAAGATCATTGTTGTACATCTACAAACAAAAGATTGCAGTTAATTTCACCTTTATGCTTCCAAGATGTGTATTTGAATAACACATTCAGTGGTTCAGTACATGCAGATGGGGATCAAATATGCTCAATATGAGCGAAGAGATTACTGTTAATGTAGAGGTATTTAATGTGTAGTGGAATGGCAAAGTCGCAATATACCTTTACTGCATTCCAGTTGTGTTGAAAGAAAATTGTGAAAGTTTCTTACTGTTGCTATTTCTTGGCTTAAGGAAACTTGATAAAGCTTTGTGAAAATATTTAAAACTAGTTTACTTCATGAATGTTTGTATTCAAGTAGAGGCATTCCCATCTTAATGTTAAGGTAATGTTGCCCTTTGAAAGCTATTCGTATATACTTAATTCAGTTAACACATGGAGAATAGTTTATGGATTGTAAACATTTCACTTTAAATATTTAAGACAAGATTCATCACTTGAGTCTATTTTTTTTCTTTCGTTTAGGCACCTCTGTGATTTCCATTGCTGAAGCTGGTAATCCCAATACACGTCCTCTCCAGTGGAACTCGCCGCAGTCTGCTCACATCGTCCAGTACATCCTTAAGTGGAGACCGGTACAGAATGCAAAATTTAAAAATAAGCTTGCATTGCCTATTGCCTTGTTAAGCTTTCTTTTCCGTTTATATTTCAACTTCAGAACTTCAAGGATTAAAAACGATCATATAATCTTTAGTTTTTGTAAGCGTTTAAAGTTTTAAATCTCTGATTTTGATTTAATAACCAAAAGATGGCTCTTTTGTGAAAAGTTAAACCTTACACCAAAAGCCCAGACAGTTGCTGGAACATTTTATTTATTAAAAGTAAATAAAAACACAAACCACTTTTTTTTACTTGAATTAGCATCTAAATATTAGCATCTAAATTTCTTTTACTGCTAGTGAAAATGTCAATGAATTGTTTGAGCTAATAGGAATTTAATGAATGAGAAACATATACTTAACAGTAAATGAATATTAATATTCATGTAAGAATAAAATGTTTCATGCTGTAAAGCAAGCTCCAGCAGTACTGGGTGATTTTAGTATAACTTATAGGAGGTTCTAGAAGGGCTAAGAACCTTAAAAACAAATCACCGAGGCTTGATGGCATTTTTCTAGTAAGAGTAATATTCAGTAGACTTCTAGTTAAGAAATTTCCGTTCTCTCAATGGGAGTGGTACCCAGTATACAGAAATGGTGGCAAAACTGAAGCAGGAAGCAACTGACCAGTCTCATTTCTGTTTCTGGTAAATTTATGAAAATATTAGAGCTAAATTAGATGAATACATAGAAAACAAGGAGAATTTAAAAGATAGAGAACATTAGTTTAGAAAGGGAACTATAATTCTCCAAGAAAGCAACCAGGAGATTACATAAAATTAAAGCATATGCATTTATATTTCTAAAAAGTGTTTATGAAGGTGCCCCTCATGAAAGGTTAAGTGTCATAGTAATCCAAGGTAATATATTTAAATGGATCAAGAACTGGTCAACAAATAGGAAACTGCTGTTATCATAAGAGGTTTCATTTATAAGCTGCAGGATGTTACACTGTCTTGATGTCTTCAAGACACTATGGAGAAGCCTTAGTGAGAAGAGTAACAAAATATGATTGCTGATCTCAAAAGACTAGTGTGTATGAATGGATTAAGGGAAGTAAATATCTTCAGTGTAGAACAGAGAAGGCAATGAAAAATATTCTCATTTTTTACAAAACATTGACCTCCGTACATTTTGGAAAGTATTACTGTTTGTTCATGTTGTGTGTGTGTGTGTGTGGTTAAGCAGTCAGAACTTTTGATGTAGGCAATTTTGTGCAACAACATCGGTCATCACCTTTTTTGTAAGAACATTTACTGTACTACTGCAACACAGGACTGTTTCAAAACTGTCTGGCTCCCAAGTCATTTGTGCTGCATTACTGAATAGTAAAACACTTCAATTCCTCAAAGAGTCAGAAGAAATGGCTTTACAGTTTTTTTTTGCTTTAAATTCACAAAAGAACTATCTGAATCATTTTTAAAGTTCACGATATCTCCTAAAAACAGAAAAATGGACGTGTTCTCTGGAAGGAGGTGGTTATTCCTGGACACCTCACCTCCTACACCATTGAAGGCCTAAAGCCTGGCATCACTTACGAGGGTCAGCTGATCAGTATCCTGCGTTATGGACGGAGAGAGGTCACACGATTTGACTTCACCACAACATATGGATCCTGTACGTTGATGCCGATACAATCTATAAACTTCTGCTGATTTACAGAAGAGAGAATAAGATTTAAGATATTTGTTGGATTGGACATTAAAAATGCTTTCTAAAATGTTACCATGATAAAGTTTGGATTTCATTTTAAGCAAACTCCAACTGATTTACAGATTTAACACTTAAAGTGTATGTGGCAATAAATCATTCAAATTTAATTTGACTATCTTCAGTGCCATGCCATATGTCCATTTGGAATGTCTACTTATCTTGCTTGCGCTTATGCTATGGACAGTATTGTTTGGGTGTGTTTTTTTTTTTAAAGCAAAGCAATATTGGACTGTTTATACCAAAAGGAAGAAAATCGTGAAATACAAGTAAATGAAAAGCAACTGAGTGAAAATTGTTCATTTTAACATTTGTGTTATTAAATATACCTATCATACTGAATATACATATTTTGCTGCTTTAGCTGCAATTTGAAAAGAAAGCTGTACTTTAGGTAAGGGGACCCTTTATGTTTTTTTTTAAAACTAAAAATGGGTCATTTATTTGTATCAGATTTTCTGCTACTGATTCTATTTGTTTTTATGATTTAATATTTCATGTTTTTGTTTTACGTTCCTCTGTAGTGTCCACATCGGAGGGTGAGACGACACCTCCCCCCCCTGTGGTAGATACTTCAGAGTCTGTGACTGAGATCACTTCAAGCAGTTTTGTGGTGTCCTGGGTGTCTGCTTCAGACACTGTGTCAGGTTTCAGGGTGGAATATGAGCTCAGTGAAGAAGGGGCTCAGCCGAAAATCCTTGGTAAGAAATTTTAAATTTGCATTACTACTTCAGAAATGGGAATAGGTCTTGTTAGTGTTTGAGCTCCAGTGGGAGACACTGATTTTGTCTGCTCTTTCATGTTTGCAAACCAGTGTGTTTACTGTCACATTATACCTACAAAGCTATTATTTATTATTTTTTATTTAATTCAAATAGAAATATGCTGTTATTCACTTGAGATAACCTCCTTAACTATTTAAGTGACAAAAGATCATTTGGCTTTTTAAAATGAGTTTTGCATCCAGAAATGCTTATAAATGCTATTTAAATTACAACTTATTCAGTTTAAAAGTGGCACTCAGAGATCTGGAAAACAAGGTTACTTTTTGGGAAAACTGATAGTTTTGTGAATTAATTGGTTTATTCCATTTGAATGTTTTTGTTCAGTTAACATGATAATGTCAAATCATATCAGTTCAATAGAACTGACATTATCCCTTTTAGTCCATTTTATTCTGTTGATTAACTTATCGATTATTGACTTATTGATTAACTTGTTAAATAACCAATTTAACTTTTCTCTCAGACCTGCCTCATACTGCTACTTCTGTCAACATTAATGACCTGCTGCCTGGTCGTAAGTACATTGTGAATGTGTTTGAAGTCACAGGGGAAGGGGAACCCAATCTCATTCTTTCTACCACCCAGACAACGGGTAAGCAGAATTTTTAGATTCCTTAATAATTAAATTACATGCCTTTTAGATTGAGTGTGAAGATGTAGTTTTTCTTCAGCTCCTGATGCACCATCTGAACACCTTATCGATGATGTGGGAGAAACCTCTATTGTCATCAGATGGTCCAAGCCCCTGGCTCCTATCACAGGTACCAGAGTTATTGGCTTTTGTTGCACTGTCTGCATTTAGGTGTAAGTTTAAAAAATAGCAAATTGGCATTATACACTGCAGAGAAGTCAATACTATGTATCCATGTACATCTTGTGCTAAAATATTACAAAACAAATTCTAATAAGTTGTAATTAACCTTTAAGCCTCTAAGAAACATAATTTGGACTGTGATAAGCACTTCAATCTATTGTTCAGATCTTAAGAGATTGTCTTTATTTTTTAAGGATATCGTGTGGTCTACACCCCTTCAATCGAAGGGAGCAGTACTGAGCTTACACTACCTGAAACAGCCACCTCAGTAACCTTGAGTGACCTGCGTCCTGGTCTGCTCTATAACATCAGCATCTATGCAGTTGAAGAGAACCTAGAGAGTGAGCCGGTCTTTATTCAGGTTAACACTGCGGGGGATCCATTGCCAGGTAACATTGCAGAAAAAATTACTCTTTCCCTGGAGCATGATGTTGATTTTGCTATAGACTGAAGTTGTGTGCCTTTTATTCAACTTATTGTATGTGGAAACTTATCAGAAGCTTGTCCTAATTTTTATGATTTCATACTGAGGTGGTGGTGGGGGTAAACTTGTACAGACATCTCTACCATTTTTATGTGCTTTGAGAAGCCATGTTTAAAGGCTATAAAAGTTTTTTTTTTTTAATATTGGCCTCAAAACAGCTTAGATATTTAACATTGCACTAATAGTGGTGCTACATTTTCAGAAATGTTTCATATAACATCTTGATGTATGCTGTTTTGAAAAACATCTGTAATAAATATTGCAATTCAGCACACAAAGGAACTTAAATTTTTAATAATTTAGAATGAAAACTGTATTTTGGAAAATACCAAACGATCTTGTGTCGGTATACAGTGCTGGGAAAGTTTGCAAACACTTGATCTTTGCATATTTAAAACCTAAAATGTTGTTGGATCTTAATCTAAGAGGTAATAATAGAAAGCTTTATCCAAATGATAGAATAAGCTGAATTTTCAAATTAAAATGCAATTAAACATTTTCTGTAACTGTTGATCAGTCTCACATTGGGTTTTGTGGATTTGGCTCATTCTGCCTTGTATAACTCATTCACATCTGTGACATTTCAGGGCTGCCTCTCATGGCTGTACTTGAAACAAGCTGTCCATAACATTGCAGGGGGGTTTTGGTTCAGTCTTTGACTAGGGCATTGTAAAACAACATTTCTTCCTCTGCTGCCATTCTTTTGTGCGTTTAAGAACATTGTCTTGCTGCAAGTCCCACTTTCACTTCTGATCAATGCCATTCTCTAAGATCTTGTGATACAATGCAGAATTCACAGTTGTCACAGATGGCAAGCAGTTCCAAACTTCCACCATGATGTGTGATGATTGGAATGATGTTCTTCTGTTTGACAGCAGTTTTTGGTTTTCTCCAAGCATTTCTCATTGAGTTCTATTATTGACTTGCTTGTTCAAAGAGCATTGAAACATAGTGTTTCAAGTAGGTAGCTGTATCAGCATGTGTAGGCTGCAAAGGAAACATGTACTTGTTCCTTTGCAGCCTACACATGCTGATACAGCTACCTACTTGAATTGTTCACTGAATCCTTGTGGATTATTTATGTGCTCTTTGGTAGACTTTTGGGTTGGCAGCAGTGTTCCTATTGGAGACCAGTGGTTTTATACCATTCTTGTTTAGTTGTTTTCTGACAGTTGTATTATGGGTGGTCTAATTAGCCAAGGCAAGAGTGGCTTACAGTCACTTGGACATTACTCTGGGATTCATTGTAGTTTCCTTGATTTTTTTTTTCCTGTTCTTGGAGAGATCTTAGTAGGATGACCACTCCTGGGTCGCATAACTGTGGTCTTGAACTAGCTGTCTGACAGTAGTCATTTGATTGTTGGAGGCCTAAATCCTTAGTACTAGGTTTGCTTATCCTTTCCAGACTGATAAGCATCAATAATACTTTTTCCAGGGGTCTCAAAAATTCTTAGATTTTAGTATGCCTTGTCTTCAACATACAGGTGTGTGGAAATAAAAAGGTTTCTGATTCTTATATAGGGTGGGGCCTTCCAAACAGCCTCCAAGATCTACATAAATACTTGATTGTTATTATTCACTTACTGTTTCACATCCCCTGTAACATTTTTTCAAGAGAGATAAAATGATTTTAACCCTATGTTATAAACTAATATGATACTATAAACCTTATTGGATATGTACATAAATGTATTGTTTTGATTTAAGTAGGCCGTCATGGTAAAACCTAAGAACTTTCCATATTTGTCTTTGGAGATTTTAAAACTTTCCCAGCACCTTATGGTGACATCTGTGCTTGGTGTTCTGTTTAGGGTAATGTGACACAGCAGATGTTTCGAATGTGTATACGAGCCAGTCTAACCGACTGATAAAAAAAAATAATGACATGGACAAAATACAAAACTGGATTGAAAACAAAATGTATACATAACCACTGCTTTTCTCTACACAGTTTACCATTTTTTATTTTTTTATTTTAAATCATACAGAACACCATTTCACAGTTTTTGTAGTGTTGTGTATTTTATGATGACTGTTCTTTCAAAGTTCTGACACTAGCCATTTGCGGGTTAGCTAACAGTTATTCTAATTCATTGCGGGTGAATTAATGTATACTATTTTTTAAGCAGTCCAACAGTCAATAGTTCTACAAGTCACTGGTGGTTCTTGGAAAACGCACATGGATTTCTCCTTAGAACCACACATGAAAATCATTTCCATCACCAACTAAATTAACTGCTTCATTATGCAGATTACATCAGATAAAACGACCGTTCATACATCGCATAATAAAAAAGAAAAAGCAATCACTGCTAATACAAACTGATATGAAGCTTCACTGCAGTGGACAACAACCCCATTGTACTCCACGCCATGTGCTTAAGGTGCATACAGTAGATTGAGCAGAATCATATTTAGATAACTAGAAATCAATTTTTACCATTCATTGATTGATTAAAAGAAATTAAATAAGTAAAGTTATAAAAAATGTAAACTGAGAGACAAACTCAAGGGCCTTGAGGGGGGGAATAAAGCATGGGGAGTACTGTTCTGCCTCGTGGTAGACACCAGCTCTGAAGGCATGCCACAGGCTCCCAATACAGAGTCCTCCACCCTACATTTGTTGCTGAAGAGTTCTCTAGTATTGCCCTAAGCTTACAGAAAGACTTAAACCAAAATGAGAAAGGAAATTTTGCGGGTTTTACCATCGATCCTCTGGGCCTGCCAGTACTTTGACCCAAACTGTTGCATTGAAAGATGTTTGCTAGAGCTGGAGGAGTGGAGGCTTGCAGCCAGAATAAATATGAAGAGAGATTGTTACTTTACAATGGAGAACAATAGATTTCAATAAGCATTCTAACAATTATAGTAGTCTGTGATGTTTCATGCTGCAAATACTAAAGTTGGATAATATGATTTAATAAGGTGAATGAGTTTTAAATTAAGGCTTTTGTCTGTATTTGTATTCTAAATTGCCTTTCTAAAGGTAAACCTTTCTTTTCACAGCACAAGTCCCATCACCCACAAAGTTGCAGTTTATGGAAGTTACTGATGTGAAGATCACCCTTACATGGACACCTCCTTCAAGCGAAGTGTCTGGGTATCGTGTAACAGTCACACCAGTTGGTCTTCCAGGCAGTGACAATGAGGGGCGTCAGTTGCCAATGACTAGGAACACCTATGCTGAAATAGCTTCACTCCAACCAGGCACCACCTACCGCTTTCACATCTATGCTGTCCATGGAGGTGTGCAGAGTGAGCCATTAGTGGGAGAACAGAGCACCAGTAAGTGTATAATTAATGCTTACAAGTGAAGCTTAATGCTGTTTTATCAGTAATGTTGTACCATAATTTTTTGTTTTACTTTCTAGAAAACACCACTTGTCAAAAGTCTCCCTACTGACCCTGAATTACATGTTATATATATTACAGGGTTACCAATATCTCTACTGAATTTTTTTTCTCGATTACTGAGACATTATTTCAGCTTGAGTCCTTCTTGGATTTTCCTGCAAGCTCATGTTCCTTTCTAGTTTCTCATTGTTACTGCTAAATACAAAACAAACTTTATTCTCATTTGAATATGAACATTGTTAAGATCTAATAACAGTACAATTAACATTTTTTTTAGTTGTTCAAATAATGGTTAATGCTTAAATACATAACTGTACTTGCTTCCATGATGTTGTTTTCATGGGAGCAGTTGTGTTGCAAAGTTATTCATATACTGCAACATTATGGATGTCATAGAAGGCCTGGTGAGCTAGCATGTGTAAGCAATATCTGGCTTTTTCAAGGACATAACAGTCCTATATGTATGTAATCTTGCATCTTGAAAATGAATAGAGAAAACAAATGTAGTAGTGCTGCATTTTCTACATTGCAGAGACTCTGTAATTTGCAAGTCCTTTAGGGCAGTATTACCCTTCAGGTTGCCTATTTTTTGTGATAAACTATTATTTAGACACTGTAAAGTCAATTTTCAGTTTCATTAACTATGCCAGAGTAGTGTGTGTTTGGAGTTAGAGAAACGCATTACTATAAAAAATAAATGTTAAAATTTACTTCAAACTTTAAAGTGAATATTCTAAAATTTTGTTTTTCTAGAAATTGATGCTCCTACTAATCTTCAGTTCACAAATGTGACAGAGGACGGTGCTGTTGTTGTTTGGAGTGCACCAATGTCCAAAATTTCAGGGTACCGTCTGTTGTTGAGCATTAGTGGGGAGCGCCCTGAACAGAAGAAGATACCACCAAGGCTGACTCAGTATTCTCTCATAAACCTTCGACCCAACACCAAATATACGGTTACTCTTTATGCAGAGAAGGACGGCGTGCTAAGTGAGGCTATCACCAGATTGCTTACTACTTGTAAGTTTTCACATTCTTCTACTTTACCAGATATGGTTTAAAATTACAAGCGCTCCTGTGATTCCCCCGGGCTAGGTAGTGAAGCACTTATAATGGTTGTAATGAAAATTTCACTGCACAACGTACTCATGTAGTACAAAAGTAATTCAGAATGTATTTTTATATGTTTAAAGGTGCTAACAAAAGAAACTGTGAAATTGTAGAATTTTTGCATAATGTTTGGCAGCATAAGGAATGTTAGTCACTTTGGAAAATGAAGAAAATGCTTGGAGATGTTTAAGATCTAGCTGCTAGGAGGGGTTTTGAAATGTTAGACTTGTTAACTTGTAAGTAAAATAATGGGGATCATTGAATTAAAAACAAGTACAGTTTTGATTTTTGTATTGAGACTAAAATCTGTTTTTTCAGTGGAGTCTATGGGAAGTGCTCCACGTTTCAGCACAGATGTAACAGATACTTCAATTATCATCGCTTGGACCCCTGCACCGAGAATTGGATACAAGGTATTATCTTAAAAGGATCAAACATCTTGAATAATCCTGAAAAATATTAGTTGTTTAAATGCCTGACAATGTATTTAATATTTTAATTATTATTTAAATTAATTTAAACATTTAATATTTTCTGTTTGTGGCATGATCCTCTTCTTTATGGGGGGCGGTCATTAAATCACGAAAGAATTACCCTCAGAAAAGCCATGATACAATACTGAAGTGTACAAAAGTCTGTAGTCAGTACAGAACTCCATGTGCAGTGATTTGAAGTGAAGTTGCAAACATTACCATTTCTGTATGATTCCCAGATAAAGTTAAAAAGTGGATGCCGAGAAATTTGGAGAAGAGGCTAAAGTCTCTGGAGGCTAACACTGCTTCATGTACAAAAATAATGGCCTTGTTTAGCAGTGATGGTGATTTATGCTAATATGCCTATCGTTAGACTCATAGTACAGCTGCTGGACATATCTTTGTATAATATAAGATCAATTTATTGGCCATATACAATTTCTTGTATTAGGAATTGAATTTTGCATACCTCAACTTGCTCTCCATGAAACACACAGATGGGGAGAGAAGCTTGGGGTCAGAGCGCTGGGTCAGCCATTTATAAGGCACCCCTGGAGCAGTTGGGGTTAAGGGCCTTGCTCAGGGGCCCAACTGAGTGGGATTCCTCGGCCAGCCATTGAATACAAACCAGCAGCCTTCCAGCCACAGGAGCAGATCCTTAGCCACATGGTATCATGGTGCAGTTACTGGATCTAGAATTGGCTAGATATTAGCTAGATGAGCAGAAGCAAAATGTGATCAAGGCCATATTCAGTGTCTTGCATTCACTTTCTCAGGAAGGCATTGCATTAGGTTTGTTTTGTTGGTTTGATATTTGATATTAAATATGCATGAGTATTTTTCACATTTTCAGCTTTCAGCCAATATGACAATATGGTGGGGACATCATAACATAAGAAGCTTACAGGCTGGAATTGTCTGTGTGTTGCAAATGCATTGGCATTTTTAGTTCAAGTTTTTTTGCTGAATGATGATGCATCGGTGAAGTCCTTAGACTTCTTTTATTGACCTAACTGCAGGATTTTCAAGATAAGTCATCCTGGTCATAACGCTTTTCTTACAAGAGAATGTGTTGGAGAATTCATGGTATATGTGCCAAACTCGAGCATTGCTTAGCATTTATGGGTTGAGATGGGGGTGATCTGAGATATTATAGAGGGTCAGGGTAGAATGGGACAAAATCCTACAAGATTGTATTTTCATCCTGGTGTGAGACATGTTAATTGTACAGCTTTCAGCAATGGCTTGTTACTTTAATAATTTCATACACTTTTTTAAACGCTTTTCTGAGCACTCCACTCAAAGCAGTTTACAGGTAATGGGGACTCCCCTCCACCACCACAAATTGTGTGGCATCCATCTGAATGATGGAACGGCAGCCATAATACTCACCACACATCAGCTATCAGTGGGAAGGAAAACAGAGTAATGAAACTAATTCATAGATAGGATTTTTAGGAGGCCATGATTGGTAAAGGCCAATTGGGCTTTTGGCAAGGACACCAGGGTAACAACTCTTCTTTTTTCGAGAAATGCATAGGGATTTGTAACGACCAGTGTTTGGACCTCCGTTTTATGTAGCATCAGAAGGATGGTGCCTTTCTCAGTTGACTTCCAGTTGATATACCCATTAAAATGTCCATATAGAGTGGTGTGAAAAAGTGTTTGCCCCCTTCCTGATTTCTTATTTTTTTGCATGTTTGTCACGCTGAAATGTTTCAGATCATCAAACAAATTGAAATATTAGACAAAGATAACAAGTCAACACAAAATACAGTTTTTAAATGAAGGTTTTTATTAAGGGAAAAAAAATCCAAACCTACATGGCCCTGTGTGAAAAAGTGATTGCCCCCTAAACCTAATAGCTGGTTGGGCCAACCTTAGCAGCAACAACTGCAATCAAGTGTTTGCGATAACTGGCGATGAGTCTTTTACAGCGCTGTGGAGGAATTTTGGCCAATCAATCTTTGTAGGATTGTTGCAATTCAACCACATTGGAGGGTTTTTGAGCCTTAACCGCTTTTTTAAGGTCATGCCACAACATCTCAATCGGATTCAGGTCAGGACTTTGACTAGGCCACTCCAAAGTCTTCATTTTGTTTTTCTTAAGCCATTCAGAGGTGGACTTGCTGGTGTGTTTTGGATCATTGTCCTGCTGCAGAACCCAAGTGTGCTTCAGCTTGAGGTCACGAACAGATGGCTGGACATTCTCCTTCAGGTTTTTTTGGTAGACGGCAGAATTCATGGTTCCATTTACCACAGCAAGTCTTCCAGGTCCTGAAGCAGCAAAACAGCTCCAGACCATCACACTACCACCACCATATTTTACTGTTGGTATGATGTTCCTTTTCTGAAATGCTGTGTTACTTTTACACCAGATGTAATGGGACACACACCTTCCAAAAAGTTCAACTTTTGTCTCGTCAGTCCACAGAGTATTTTCCCAAAAGTCTTGGGGATCAAGATGTTTTCTGGCAAAACTGAGACGAGCCTTTATGTTCTTTTTGCTTAGCAGTGGTTTTCATCTTGGAACTCTGCCATGCAGGCCATTTTTGCCCAGTCTTTTTCTTATGGTAGAGTCATGAACACTGACCTTAACTGAGGCAAGTGAAGCCTGCAGTTCTTTGGATGTTGTTGTGGATTTTTTTGTGACCTCTTGGATGAGTCGTCGCTGCGCTCTTGGGGTAATTTTGGTCGGCCAGCCACTCCTGGGAAGGTTCACCACCGTTCCATGTTTTTGCCATTTGCGGATAATGGCTCTCAGTGTGGTTCACTGGAGTCCCAAAGCTTTAGAAATGGCTTTATAACCTTTTCCAGACTGATAAATCTCAATTACTCTGTTTCTCATTTGTTCCTGAATTTGTTTGGATCACAGCATGATGTCTAGCTTTTCAGGATCTTTTGGTCTGCTGCACTTTGTTAGGCAGGTCCTATTTAAGTGATTTCTTGATTGAGAACAGGTGTGGCAGTAATCGGGCCTGGGTGTGGCTAGAGACATTGAACTCAGCTTTCCAAAGATGTGGTAAACCACAGTTGATTTATGTTCTAACAGGGGGGGTAATCACTTTTTCACACAGGGCCATGTAGGTTTGCATTTTGTGTTTACTTGTGTTATCTTTGTCTAATATTTCAATTTATTTGATGATCTGAAACATTTCAGTGTGACAAACATGCAAAAAAATAAGAAATCAGGAAGGGGGCAATCACTTTTTCACACCACTGTACATCTACAGAAAGTGACAATTAATCAGGAAAATGGCAATCTGCTGTACTTGTAGTTGTGAAATTATTGATGTTTTTTAATATATGATGGAGCTTTTTCAGCTGATTGGAAAGTCCATTTAAGAATTGTAAATACAGTGTAACATGCTGAGCTTAAAGTATTTCCTGTTTTATTTCTGCTTTGAATTAGTTGACAGTTAGGCCAAGCCAGGGTGGTGAAGCTCCCAGAGAGGTGACCTCTGGCTCGGGCAGCATCGTCATCTCTGGATTGACTCCTGGAGTAGAATATACCTACAGTATCCAGCCCCTGGTTGATGAGCAGGAGCATGGTACCCCCATCACCAAAAAAGTCATCACGCGTAAGAAATTCTATCATTTATGGTGATGAGCTGATTACAGCTGCCCGAGGATGAGAACAAAATCGTTTACTTTTATAATTTTGAAATTTGGATAAAGAAAGCTTAATTGGTTATCTTATTTATATGATATTTAATGTCTTAATTTTGAATGGGTGCAAAAATTATTTCTGTTGCTTTGAAGAATATTTACAAAACTAGAATTGCAGTTCTTGTTTTTTTTTATATTGTAGTGAATTGTTTCCAAATTAGATTTGATTGCTTTGATGCAATTCATGCTGTTTTTCTGAGTGGTTGCTTCACTGGTAATCAGTTATTTTATTTGGGTCTGTTTTTTTTTTTCTGAAACTTCTTTCATGGCTGTATACTCATCCAGTTCTTTCTTTCTGTCAGCACTCTCTCCACCTACTGACCTGAAACTGGATTCAAATCCTCACACTGGAGAGCTCATAGTTTCGTGGGAGGGTACCAAAACAGCTGGTAAATATGAATGCTCTTGTACCACAGGCTCAAATGTTTTTAATAGCTTAAAACATTTTGTCACATCCTGATTGGGACTTCTTCTATTAAAAGGTAATCGGTAGTAGTAGAGAGGTTTGTTGTCATATGTACATTGGAATTCTTATTCATACTGATGTCTTGGGACATGATCTGAGGGTACAACAGACAATTGCATCCTTAAATCGTCTGCTGTTGCCACAACCCTTTGTAGTGCATCCATGTCATGTATGATATTATTGCTCTAACACTAGTGAGGACACTGGTAAAAGTGCTATGGTAAAAGTTCGAGGGGCTGTTCTACCATACTGCATTTCTTTAAGCCCCACAGAAAGTGCAGGTGCTCTTGTAGTCTGTCTGAAAAAGACCGTGTTTAGATCCACCCAAGTTGGTGTAGATCTGCAGACCAGGGAACCTGACCAACTGACAGTTTCCACTACTGTGCCATCGAAGCTCTAATACTTTTCTTATTTTGTATATGTGCTGTTTTAGTAATAACTTTACAATCCATCAAAATATAGTATAAACTTTATTTACACATTTCTCTTAATGTCTGTTCCTCAAACAAAACCAATAAATGTTTAAGCAAACTCCTGCTTCAGTTTGGACAAATGTTAACTGTTTTTTTTCCTTTTCATAGTAGTCTATTTTTTCCTTGCTTATCCTTGTGCATTCAACTATGTATCAGCTGGTGATTTGACTCATAAGAAATGTGACCTTACTTTTAATTTTTATCTATTTTTCAGGCCTTAATGATTAATTATTTCTTTACACTCTCAATTAGATATCACTGGATACAGAGTTACCTGCACTCCAAATGGGGGTCAGCGAGGCAACTCCCTGGAAGAATTTGTCAGGGCCGGGCAGAACTCCTGCACATTGGACAACCTGAGTCCAGGTGTTGAATACAATGTCAGTGTGTACACTGTCAAAGACAACATGGAGAGTGAACCAGTCTCCAAGATTGTCACTCAAGGTAAAAAACTAAAATAAGTACTCTAGCAGAGACACTTTGGGATACTTGGGGATAAAGAAGCAGATCTTTAAGAGCTAGTTACCAATATTTCCATTATTGACAACAACAATATAATATCTTTGTATTGTATAGTGCTGTAAAATCTTCAATTTGTATCAGTCGAACAAAATCCTTATTTTAAACCCTTTGAATCTTCTCTGATTCAATTACATGTATACTTATTACTTATTACATCAGTGAGGCTTTCAACACAGAACTTTTGTTAATTTTGATATTTGAATAACTAAGTAGCTGCTTTGCTTTTGGAACAGTCTGCAAGTCCAATGTTATATGTTGTACCCTTAGCAATGTAATGTATTTGTAGGTTTTCGGTTTGCAGCAATTGCTCACCACCTTACTAACATTTTCTCATTTACTAAAATTTTAAACTCTGTGCTATTACAAAAGTGATATGAAGTTGCCATGCAAACTTACTATAAAAATCAAATGTATACAACTATTACACCAGTTCTAATCAATACACTAATAGTTTCATAATGTTATCATTACTTAATGCAAATATTTACCTATATACCTATCAGTATTATACTTCTTAACTTCCTCAATGTATAGTCTTTAGTTTCTAAATTCTAATTTGATTTGGTGCTCTCCAGAACCAGGTTTATAATAATAATTGCTCACGCTTATATAGTGCTTTTCTGGACACACCACTCAAAGCGCTTTACAGGTAATAGGGACTCCCCTCCACCACCAGTGTGCTGCCCCACCTGGATGAATAGGCGGCAGCCATAGTGCGCTAGAACCCTCACCACACATCAGCTATTAGTGGGGAGGAGAACACGGTAATTAAACCAATTCATAGATGGGGATTATTAGGTGGCCATTATTGGGGCCAGGATGCTAAGGTTACTCCCCTACTCTTTTTGAGAAATGCCCTGGAATTTTTCATGACAACAGAGTCAGGACCTCAGTTTTGTCTCATCCAAAGTACGGCACATTTTTACAGTATAATATTCCTGTCAGTATACTGGGGCATTAGGACCCACATGGACCACAGGGTTAGCAGCAACCTTAGTTTTTCCCAGGAGGTCTCCCATCCAGGTACTGACCATGCTCACACCTGCTTAGCTTCAGTGGGTTGCCTATTGTGAGTTGCAGAGTGATATGGCTGCCAGCTGGTTCACCATTCACCTGACCTGAAATGTACTTATCTTAAGATGAGTTTGAAACAAAAGATTGTGCTCCTGGAAAACGTTGACTGAGTGGGCAATAGTAGTTCACAGAGTAATTGGTGACAGTGGGGCTATTTTGTAATGACAATATAGTGTCAATAATATTTATTGTCAGTAATAATATCTGTAGCAGTTTGAAATTATTCGTTGTTATTAATAAATGACTTCGCTTTGAACATGTGATATTTAGAAATATAACAAATGTCAATATAGTGTCCAAAATATTTATTTTAGTTTTACAAAATAATGTTTGTTAAAAAGAAAACTGATGGCGACAGCAGGGCTTGAACTGCAGACCTCAGGCTTATAAGGCACACACTTAAGCCTTCATGCCACAGATGGAACCATGCACACATATCCATAGAAAGTGTATTATACTACTATTTGAGCTACAGTACATGAATATAATTATCGTTATTAGTTTTTTAGATGCGCGATTCCATATTATATTCCCTATTAATCAAGTTCTAAAAGTATGCTTTTGTTTACTCCAATAACGAGCGTATTCGCAGAAAAGGTTAAAACATTATGACTTTTCACAAAGTATGTAAACTTAATATGGTCAGAAGGAGCAAATAATGTTTCCAAAATAACCACATGTAAGACTTTGATACTCGTGTGCATATTTTCTTTAAGTAACCAATTCCACCCATATACAGTTTACATAATGTATATGTTCCTAAATTAATATCGTTTATGGTGGTGTATCGTGGTGTTACTTTTTGTCAATGAAAAAAGTATTTTAGTTTACAAAGACGGTTACAAAGAAAGTGGACCACGGTAATACTTTGAGCTTACAGCCTGTCCAAGGTAATTCATTATTAATACCATTAGTAATATCTTCCATAAAGACTTTGATGCATAATTAAAATATTTATGATAAAGGTGGTAGGTTGTGTACTTTTGTCCAACTGAGCAATCTTGCTTTTATAAAATATACCGGCTTTTTAATGTTTAATGATGAACAATCTTTAATACAGTTTAAAATTATTAAAAGTCTGAAGAGTATACAACTTAAATTCTTAATTGGAAAAAGATTGTCCTTCAGCAGTGACTGGGATTTAAAACCATGCGTTTTCTGGCAACAGCTCAAATGCTGTATTTGAGACTTTAAGCTTTATTAGCTCCACTTGGCAGTGATTCCGGATACTATTATCATAACTGCAGTATTATACGGTATGACGCGATATGATACGTGATGCGACACGCCCACTGTGTTTTACCGCAGCGTACCCCACTCGTTTTGAATGGCTGCATTTGTATTATGCTTTCATATGGCAACGGATGAGTGTATTTAAAACTTTTCAGTAGTGTAGGTTTTTTATCTGAGGATGTAGTAAAATGAAATTGTCTAATTTCTCAGTTTATAGTTTAAGCAGCTGTGATTAAACCTTGTTATAACATCAGTATGTAGGACATGTATAGTATATAAAGAATTACTAAACTGTTTATTATAATGTGGTATGGTAAAAATACTTCATATCACTTTTAAAAAGCTTAAAGCATGTTTAATGTCTTGCTTTTTAATTCATCATGGCCTTATTTTTTTTTTGCCTTTCTGTGCTATTTTAAATTGCTAGATGTCCCTAAGCTTACTGACCTCAGTTTTGTCGATGTCACCGATACGACTATCGGACTGAGGTGGACCCCGCATAACTATACTGCTATAACTGGCTACCGCATTACGGTGGTTGCCGCTGGAGAAAGCGTCCCTATTTTTGAAGACTTTGTGGAGCCCACAACAGGATATTACACTGTAATGGGCCTGGAACCTGGAATTGACTATGACATCAGCGTGATCACTCTCACTGAGGGCGGCGAGAGTCAGCCCACAACCTTGACACAGCAAACTGGTGAATTTCACATTCTTGTTGCATGATTTTTCTTAGTTCTGCCAGTCTGGGAGGGACTCAATGATATTATTCAAGCACCAACTTTCCTTTTTGATGAGCTCTTAACTTTTCTATTTTATGGCTTAGTTCAGTTGTACTTGAATGTGAAAACATTAAAATTGTCCCTTAACATCAACTTTTGAACCACGCCAATTCTGTTTTTGATATTGTAAGAGTATATTGATAAAAAAAAACTAGTGCTTGTTGAGTGTGAATCATCAAACCTTGGTGAGCTGAATACATTGGTTTTTAATTGTAGAAGAAATCTGAATGAATCAGTTTGCTTAATTTGTACAACTTCTGTTCAGTTACAGTCCAGGACCAGAGTTCCTGTTACATTTTTAAACATTTGCCCTGTATTTTTTTGGGAGGGATTTTTCAAGTAATAAGCTCAGTATTATTCATTATCGATGCTTATATGTAAGCTTCCAACAGCAGTTGGATGAACTTTGAATAAAATTATCCTCCCATGTTAATTGAATAGTATGAGCTCAATTCACTTGAGCTAGTCTGTAGTCTTGGAAAGCTATGTGGTTTTATTTTGTAAAAAACCTAATTGGCTCAGTGTTCAGATAAATGGACTCATAATTGTGTATCTAGCTGGAGCTATTCCTCGTTTGTTCTCCAAAAGCCTGAATACATGGAATTCCTGTGTAGACTTTCCACTTACTTAATGGTATTCATTTATGATTAAAGGGATTTTATGAAACATTGGATTCCCATAAATAATGTTTAAACTTTCTTTCTGGATTAGTGAGATGTGATGTCTTATTTACTTCATAATTTTTTTAAAGATTAAAATTTCTCTCCTCAGCTGTTCCAACACCAACCAACCTTCAGTTCTTTGACATTGGTCCGGATAGCATGAAAGTGACCTGGACTGCACCCACATCTGTTAAAATTTCCAGGTTCATGGTGCGTTACTCTCCTGTGAAGAATGAGTATGACATCAATGAACGTAATGTTCCTGGCACAAGCAACAATATTGTGCTCCGAGGTCAGTCGCAAAGTAAATCACAATGAATGTTTTACAGTCGGATGTTAGCAAGGAACAGCTGCTTCTTTTTTAGTGTTTGATTTGTTTATCTTATTTTGACTGTTTCTTGGGAAATTTAAAAAAGGCTGTAAGAATTGAGCAATAATGTAGGCAGATTAATAATGTGGGGAATGCACATTAAAATGGGCAAAAGAACTAGAATTTCAGAAAGTGAAGGTGGGGGTAAAGAAGCAAATCCTTTGCTGTTCTGTTGTAAAGTGATGTGTCTTTTTCCATATGTTCCATCAGTCTTGACGGTCTCTCTGCTCTGTGACACAGGTCTTCTGCCTCATACAGAATATTTGGTCAGTGTGGTCTGTGTTTATGAAGAACAAGAGAGTACGCCGGTCACTGGGACTCAGAAAACAGGTTTGTTAAAAGGAATCTGTTTGATGGGGTCACCTGTTACATACTTGTCTAAAAAAGTACTTATTTTTTTCTCCTGTTAGCAATTTGTAAATACTTCTAAGTGAGCTGTTTGTTTGTTTTTTGCAATTCTCTAGCCCTAGACTCTCCCACTGGCATTGACTTCTCAGAGGTTTACCCAAATTCCTTCACTGTGCACTGGTTGGCACCCCGTGCAGTCATTACCGGTTACAGGATCCGGTACCAGATGGCAAGTGGTGGGCGTTCCAAGGATGAAAGACTGCCCCCTTCACGCAATCATTTCACCCTTACTGGCCTGGTCCCACAGACTGAGTACATCATCCACATCTTTGCAATCAGTGGTACGGATGAGAGCCTGCCTTTGACTGGCCGTCAATCAACAAGTAAGGTTTTGTTAATCTTCTGTATTTATATAAAAGTTCATTCCTAAAGGAAAACTAACTACATTAGTATTTTGGCAATTTCACTTTTGAGGTCCTTTTTTGAGGCAATTCTGAAGGGGGTAACATTAATGGAAAATGTTCTGTTTGCATTGTTTGTTTTAAAACAATAGGTTTTACACCATTTTAAGTGAACAAGCTCTCTTGACATGTACAAAAGGAAATAGAGTTCTGTAGAGGCACCTCAGTCTTTCTCTTGTCTTTGTTATGGATTTGTTTACTTTTTAATTATCCTTTTGCGTTGTCTATAAGCTATGGAGAGTGACACTAGAGAATGCTTTTGTAGTAAGGCTGCTTAATGCCAAATGTATAAAGTCTTAGGGTTGCATTAAGTTCTCAACACATGGTCTCAAGTTAGTGGAATGAGTTAGAAAATATCAGAAAGATGTGCGCTGCACTACAGAACCTACGCTAGATATTGCCAGGAAAAAAATCATATAGCTGTTTATCTAAATGTCTTTTGTGAATTATTTTTAACATTTAAGGTTATTAGAATTATTGATCAGGTTTAAGGGCAATGCAAATTTTGGATGCTAAAACATTTGATGTTTGGAATTGTCCAAAGAACATTTTTATACATAATGAAGTGATTTTGTTTTCAGTGACACTCAGTGATTTTGTTTTTTTTACTCAAGTTTCTGATGCTCCAACTGATTTGAAAGTGGATTCTTCCTCTCCCACAAGTATAACCATCAGCTGGGAGGCTCCTCCTGTCACTGTGAGGTACTACAGAATCACGTATGGAGAGACGGGTAGGTGGAGTCTTTGCGGTAACCTGTAAAATGTTTTTTGAATGAAATGGACCTCCCTTCTCCACATCTATTCCTCAATACTTTCAAGATGGAGTGCTTGATATGGTTATAAGTTCATTATAAGAGCTTACTTTAAAAAGTCCTTCAAGGAGTTAATGGAAACAATACAAACACAACATTGATCCGTTCATTTTAAAGGAAACTCCCAAGGTATTCGTTTTAAAAAGTAATCTTAGTCACTCCTGAGTAATGGTAAATTTAAATTTGAAGTGTGGCATACTTTCATGGTTGTGAATGAAGTATCCTAACTAATATGTATAGAAATACCACTGGCTGCTGATGGCTTCAGCTATACATATTATATAGTTCCTAGAACTTAATGGGATTTGATGGTGACCTGAACATCCCCCCTTTTGTTAAAGAATTAGAATTATCGGATGTGTTTTACCGGTGGAGAAATATGAAAAGCTGGAAGAGCTGTTAGTGAGACAAGTAGAGAGCAGGAAGTATGCGAGTCCTAATTCCCCAGTGTAGTGATGGGAACTCTACTGTAAAAAGAGGTGCTGTTCTTTGGGTGAGAGGTAAAACTGCCTGTAAAGAAAGTTACTTTTTTTGCATGTGTCCTTAAATCAAAACACAGTAAAGGATTAAAAGGAAAGCTGAGCCTCAGGCCCCTTTTATTAAATGATTCTCAAATTAAAATTGGTTTTCAGTTATGGTCTTTAATTGATGTTGCTTACAACAGCTAATATTTATTCTGTGGAGTTTGAAATCTCTGTTTTTCAGAATTATTTCATGAAGAGATACAGCTAAAATGTGTTCTTTGAGTAACCTAGATTTACCCATACAGGGGTTTACTTCCAAAATTGATTTAAATAGCTCTTTCTCTTTTTATTTTTGAATAGTTTAAAAATAGGTACTGTTAAATTGAGAATCATAATGAAGCTGATTTGTAACTTGTTTATTAGTTGCTGTAAGTACTGCTGTAAGTCAGAAATAAAAATATTGACAAAATTATTCCCCCATATTTATGAATTTCTGGAGAGACATTTTCTTTTCCTCAAAGTCGTTTTATGGCTGCCTGCAGGAGGTCGCAGCCCTGTTAAAGATTTCACTGTCCCTGGGTCCCAGTCAACTGCCACCATTGGAAACCTGCAGCCTGGCACCGATTATACTGTGACTGTGTATGCTGTCACTGGGCGAGGTGACAGCCCAGCTTCCAGCACTCCAATCGCGGTCACTCACAAAACAGGTACAGGGAAGGCCAGAACCAAGTAGTTCTTTTTGTGGTAGGGAACTGGGATTTAAGTGTATTGAAATATTAAGTCATCTTGGTTTGCGAGCTGTAAATAAATGATGAGCAATGTTTTTGGAGGAAAACCCAATTTAAATTAGTACTGATTTTTGACAGACTAAAAGTCCTCTCCAATTTGAAAATTTAAATGTGGTATTTGGGTGATTTGTTTTTATGATATACTATAAAGCTTATATATTTTAAATTAGCTTTGTTTTGCAGTGTAAATCTACAAAAACAGTTTCCTGATATCACTATCTGCTTTCATGTGTGAAGTACTAGAGTAGAGTTGACAAACATGGCTAGTGGTCCATATCCAGACCACCAAGATCATTCTTTTGTCTGTGGTCCAAAAAACCTTAACAGACTACACAGATCTGGTGATTTTTGTTACTTTTAGTCTCGTACGCATAGTGGTCTCTAGTTCTCTACCTTAATCCAGTTGCATTGTCCCCATTTAACGTTACATCTCTAGATTGACAGTTGTCTTTTCACAAAATTAGTGGAGGAAAAACATACATAGAGCCTGGACCTTTGTTGATCTCACTAAAATTATGATCTCAAGGATATTTTATATAAAGTAATAAGGGCTTTGTAATTATCTTAAGCCACATACTTAATGAAGTGGAGACTTTTTTCATAGACGTAATGGAAAGATGTTGATTTGTTCAAGTAGCTTTTGTCAAAGGGCAATAGCAATAATGGTATACATTTATTGTTGTTTTTATATCGCTGCTACCTTGCAGTGTTCTACTTTTCAGTGTTTGCCAATTTAAGCTTGCTTTTGTCAATTGTTTAGCTAAAACTCTGTATCTATAAGTTAAAAGCAGTTTGCCTTGTTTTGTAATTGGCAAAGTATCAGCACTCAAGGACGTTTTTGCCAGTGTTGCTGTTTACTTGCAGAGTCCCTTTAATTGTTTCAGTACTGCAGTTTGCCTGTTGATTAATACCCTTGTCTAGTTTTCCAAGGTAATGTTTCTGGAGAAACTGCAATATGAAATTTAATATAATGAAAATGCCTCTTTACATGTAAAAGATTACAAAACATTCCCAAGTTTTGCATACTATATAGTACTACTCACTTGTAATTTTCTCGGTAGGCATTTTTTTAAATTTAAAGGATGCGGATTATTTTTAAAAAGATTTTAAGAGTGTAAAACCTTCCTAATATTTTTTTAGAGATTGAGTCTCCTTCTGGAATGGAAGTGAGAGATGTAAAAGACAATGCCATTACAGTGAGGTGGACCCCTTCATCTGGATCAGTTACTGGGTACAGAGTTACAGGCATTCCCAAAAATGGCATGGGGCCTTCATTCTCTGAGGTTGTTTCTCCTGGTAAGACTTTTCCCCCCCACTTTTAAGGAAAGACAAACAAAAAAGAATAGTTCATAAAGAGTACATTGTAATAGTTACAATAGTCATAAGAACAAATAAGTGATTTTTCTCTTAAATTTAATTGTTGAATATACAAAAATATACACGCTGTATAAAGTACAGTAGCTAGTCATAAGTACAGCAAGTGATTTTTCCCTTCCTTTTGGGACACCAAAATTGTAATGATGATGATGATGATGATGATGATTATTATTACAGAACAGATGCTTCATTCCCTAACACCTTCTTTTCTTTCCTTCTGCTTCTAAGTGCTTCCAAACCTTTACTTGATATCTAATTAAGAAGTTTGGGAGATTGGGTTTTTGCCTATAAAAAGTGCATGCTCCATAAGTTATAGTCAAACAACTGGATAGTGAGGATCAAAAACACTAGTAGCATGAACAGGTGACAAGCACACACCGATCTTAAGACTATGTGAAGCTCTAAGCTATTGTAACTGTGAATAGAAGTGCTTTTAGCATATTGCTACTTACCATGCCACTGTAGGATAAAAGTTGATACCCCAAAATGGTAATGTTGATTATTGTACTGCAGACCAAACAGAAATGACCTTTTCGGGTCTGATGCCAACAGTGGAGTATGTGCTTAGTGTGTATGCCCAAGGGCAGAATGGAGAGAGTGCCCCTCTTATAGAAAGCGCTGTAACAGGTAAGTGTATTTCTTTCACGGTATAAATGCAGTCGTTCCAAATTAATATCCTTCATAGCATCTCTTGTAATTTGTTTTATAGTTTCTGTCTTGACAAAATGTAAATTGTACTCGTATTGGAAAATTTTAATTATGCTATTCAAGGGGAACAGCAATACAGTTTTCATATTTCAGGGTTATAAAGAATCAGCATTTCTAACCGCAATAAAAGTAAACTATATATATATAAACTTGTAAACCTCCAATTTCCACCACAGAATAAGCTAAATTTCCAGGTATGTACAGTGCCATGTTCTGCGATTCAGAACTAAGCAACGAAACATCTGGTGATGTGTGAGCCCAAGACAGAACAGGCTTGTGAATAAGTCTCTTTTAAATCCAGTACAAATGTTTTTTTATTTCAATACGTATTTGCCAGCAAATACTACTGACTTGTTTGCTCTGCATGCATATCATGAAATATTTCTGCAGTGATTACATTTCTGCTGCAAATCCTGTTTTTATTTGCTCGCACATTACATTAGCCATTATGGAGACTAATAAGGAGGAAGGGCTGTATCATGTTGCAGTTCATGGGGATGTACTTTCACAAAGTTAGTGATTTTGTGCTTAATTTTTAACTTTTTATTGTGAAGTCAATTAATTTATTTGTTACCAAGATTTAATAACCAGTCTAAAATTGGGACTGCAGTTCCCCTTTAAGTAGATCTGTCAAGGTCATATTTTCTTTTCTTATTTCCTGGGCTTTTGTTGTTCAGGACATTTTAAACAGTTGCTAACTTTTTTTTACAAAAGTTCTCCAGTTCCATTCATTGGGTTCTGAAACTCAATACTGTGCACTACAGTTTGACTTAACATTCTCCACTTGCAGGTGTTGACCGTCCCAAAGCCCTTACTTTTACGGACATTGACACAACCTCCATCAAAATAGCCTGGGAGAGCCCTGAGGGCCAGGTGACTTCATACAGAGTGACATATTCCAGCCCAGAAGATGGGGAACGTGAGCTGAGGCCAGCCCCCCATGGGGAGGATGATACTGCAGAGCTGCATGGGCTGAGGCCAGGCACTGAATACACTATTAAAATCATTGCTCTGCACAATGACTTGGAAAGTCAGCCTCTTGTTGGAACTCAGGCTACGGGTAATGCATTTTTTCTGGATAACATTGTTTTGAATATCAGGGACGATGTATGTATTCATAATGACTGCTGGGATGAGTCTTAATTCTGTTGTAACTGGGATGCACAATGCTATAGCACAGATGCAAGGAACAGTTCAGTTCAGAAGTATCTGGCAAAAGCATTATAGCTTATTCTTAGTTTCTCAATTGTTCAGTTTTTGCAAAACTGAACAATTGAGAAATTGTTCAGTTTTGCAATTTCTCAATTTTAGAAAAAATAATTTTGCTGTTGCTCCTGCAATCTTTCTGGTTGCCCTTAGGCAATGGAGTACTTTTTACCTAAGTGTTTTTTGGAAATTTTCTTCCAGGCTTGTTTTGCCTCCTTAGGAGCAACAGTTTTTGTGGGAAGCGGGTATTCAGGTGTAATTTGATATAATTACAAGTTATATAACAAACATTTATTAATTTTTGTATTTAGTATCAAGGCAAAAAGCAGCATCAACATGAGGCCTCTGCTGCATGTTGGGTACATGATCTGTGGAACTACACTGCAGGTTGCATTTAATATTACAGGAATTAGTTTACATCCCATATTGGGGGAGATCAATCATTAGAGGAATCGGCACAATTGAGAAAGAATTATGTGACTGTAGGCTACAGCTTGAGGCGTTGCGGTGGCTCTGTGACTAAGGATCTGCACCTGTGGCCGGAAGGTTGCCTGTTAGTATCCCGCGGCCAGCAGAGGAATCCTACTCCATTGGGCCCCTGAGCAAAGCCATTAACCCCAACTGCCCCAGGGGCACCATATAAATGGCTGACCCTGTGCTCTGACCCCAAGCTTCTCTCCCTGTCTGTTTCTCGTGGAGAGCTAGTTGGGGTATGCGAAAAGACAAATTCCGAATACATGAAATTGTATATGGCCAATAGTCTTATCTTAGCTTAGAATATGTAAGATGTGAGTTAAACTGGAAAATAGAAATTCAAAAGGCTTATCAGGGGGTGTATGATATAGACCACCTGATAAAGATATTTGTACAAGTAGCTTACTATATGATCGGATCAAGAAGGTATGTAGCAAAGGTGACTATTGTTAGGGGATTAATGCCTGAAATGGCTTAAGTTACGTTTTGTAGAGAAATGGTAAGATGTGCTTATTGACTTTAATAACCACCATATAATTAAGGAAAGACATGATATTTCCACTGGGAAATTGTGCTCATAATATGGCAACTTTTGGTGTATAGTTTAAGAAAATTTTAATCTAAAAACACTGATTCTTTTAATTGGTTAACTGAATTGTGAGTCTCTGTAACAAATTCGGAGTTTTACATTCTTCTTTTTTTTATGTCAACATAGACTTGATGCAAATATATGAGATTTTCAGACCAAGACATGAGACCATAAATTGTCCTGATACTTTAATACATTATACGTTTTTTAGCTATGTAGTTATGTACTATTGCGGCTGCTAGTTGGCAAATGATCTTGCGGTGTTATTACTGATTTTTTGCCTGGTAGCTTGCCATCTGTATACAGCTGTAGGGGAAACCATGATAGTTGAAACATAGTTAAAGGCTCAAAGTGAATTTATTCCAAAATTAGTTTAATTTCAGGGAAAAATGGCCTAAATGGTTTAGTGGTGATATTAAGAAAAAAAACGGAAGAAAAGAACACTTACCAGGCTGCATGGACCCAGACTACATAAAAGGGTCCATGATCCTGAGTTCAAAAGAATATATAGAACTACTGGCACAGCTGAAAAACTATGGTAAAATTGGCTATGGGAAGGCCAAAAAGAATATTGTAATGGTTCAGAAAATATTTCAAAGCACCCTTTCCAGTAGTACAACATTAGAGTTCAATAAAAATGTTATTTTTTCACTGAAATGTCTGCAATAGAAAGCATTGATAATATTCCCCATATTCCAGATCAGGGGTCTCCAACCTTTTTTCCTTCAGGGCCACATTTGCTTCAGCAGAAAGGTTGGAGGGCCAGAGAGTGGGAGGGTAGGTAGACAGGGAGATTTTATGATGGAGGAATATGTAATAAACAACACAATGTACACTTAATAAATGTATATATTGTAATGTTCAAATGAACAAATGGGACTAAAAGAAAAATCCATGTACATGTGTACAAATTTAATGTGATATTTGGAATTGCTTCTGTGACAAAGTTTGAACCAGAATTTGAGGACATTCTGTAGTCCCCCCAAATCAAAATCTGCTTGGGGTGCTCATCAGAGTGATGTTTGATATTTAGATTTTACATATTTCATCTTTAAAAGTTTGTTCACACATATATGTGGAGACAAAGACAGAAAAGTCATTCACAGCAATGTCAATTACTTCAAACTGCAACTCGGGCTGAAGATCTTCCAGTATCACTTGCAAAAGGGTTCTGGAACAATCTTATGTTCTCTGAGATACTGTTACCTCTATTTTTTGTTTTGTCCTATGTTAATTTTATTATTTTTATTTGCGTTGGCAACACCGATTGTACCTATCGGTCATGCTAATAAAGCACCTTGAATTGAATTGCAAATACTGTCAGAATCTTGAAAACGGTCCTAAAATTGCTATTTTGAATGTGAAATCAGAAGAGATTTGGTACATTAATTTCTGTACTTTTCACAAGTTGCAAAATGAACAATATTGTTAGCTGCCACCTGTTTTTCAAAAATCATAAATTTTTGTCTGAAGGATTTTATGTGAAAACAAATCTGAAATGAGGTTTCACATTCAGTTTACTTATGTGCAGTCAAATAAGAACGGCGAGCTTCCATAATCAAAGTGCAGTGCAGTGGTGCTGTCCTCTGTTCTCGGGCCGTAGGTTGGAGACGCCTGTTATGGATCAAGCTCCAGCAGTATTGAGTAATTTCAGTATAACTGATACTGAGCTTCTTGATACCAGTTCGACAGGAGATACAAGATTAGAAGACAAGTTAAAAACAAGTCATGAGGAAATGAGGGATGTTATTCACAGAGCAGTATCTGGAATATTTCAACTCATTACCCATAGATTTTAAAAAATCTCAAATCTAAAACCAAAAAAAATGGGGACAGACATGAACATGAAAACTACATAGAAATCAGTCTTGCATCTCTTACTGATTTTAGATAGTTATTGAAATAATTCTAAAATATTGGAATGCTTTGATATTTTAGGAGGCTGCTAACATGGGTTTAGAAAAGGAAGGGAATAACCACTATGTAAGCATATGTGAATAGTGGTGTGCTACATATATCAATATTAAACCCATTGCTCTTCCTGATCTGTATCAATCTAGTTTCTTGTATAGTTGTTAAACTAGTCAGATTTGTTAATGATACTACAATAAAGGAGGTAGGTAATGCAAACAGTGGAAAGAGTTTTTTTTTTTTGCCAAAGTCATCAATTGGACTGTTAATTTGCATGCCTGTAGTGAAATGTAATGACGTGCTCCACATACATATTGCATGGGTGCTTCTCAGCTGCAGATGCAAGTAATTATGCATGGATTTGTGTGTAGGTTGAGCTATACAGAATCCTGTCTTCTGTTGCATTGTTTGATATTGATAAAATATTCATGATTGATTATTTTCCATGTCTTCCCATTCTAGCAATACCTGCTCCCACTGATTTAAAGTTCTCGCAAGTTGCCCCATCCAGCCTGACGATATCATGGCAAGCACCTAAAGCCAGACTCACTGGTTACCGTGTGGTGGTCAATCCCAAGGATAAGACTGGACCAACCAAAGAGATCAACCTGGCACCTGATACAACCTCTGTTTTTGTCTCAGGATTAATGGTAAAAGTGTTTTTCATTACTGGGGTATTTTAATAAACCAGACATGTGACTGTAAAATTCCCAGTTATTTTCTACTATGCAGGCCTTATTTTAAGTATACTATATTATAATAAGCATATTATATTAGTACAGTACAATGGTTCATGTACAACACATAATGTAAAACACTTTTGTAACATTAAATGGAAGAATAGTGGAAATGTGAAACATTTAGATTATCAGTATATCAAGTTCATACTTAACCCAAAGTGTTTGTTTGGGATTCTGAATTCCATTTTTGAATGTTTTCCAGGTTGCTACTAAATATGAAGTAAATGTCTATGCCCTGAAGAGCTCTCTGACAAGCCGACCTGCTCGTGGAGAAGTTATCACGCTGGACAGTGAGCAGTGTTCCTAAAATAGTTTCAGCAATTAAAATATAATTTAATTGAGTTAATATAAATATAATTAATTTGAGATTGTAAATTTTAAGCCTGTGAATTAAAATAAGTGATGTTTCCAGTGTCTATACAATAACTTCAAACACAATACTATTCACCTCTGTTCATGTCTTATATTAGTGTGTTTAAAGTGACAGTTCAGACTTGTGTGGCTAAGAAGTCTATAATTCTGACCTTTTGTTTATACAGATATAAGTCCACCTCGGCGTGTTAGGATCTCAGATTTGTCAGATTCCTCCATCACTCTCACTTGGCGTTCTAAAACAGAAACCATTAGTGGTTTCTATATTGAAGCTACTCCAGCTGGAAGCCAGACCCCTATTCAGAACTCTGTCCGCCCAGATGCCAGGACCTACACCATTACAGGTAGGCCACAGGGTCTTCACTTGTCAGCATGAGCACCATATTAATCTTCGACCTGTCCCTTACAGCCTGCAGCTTGCAGTTTCCCTTTTAAGTGTTGTGTTTTAGTTGATCTGCTGCAGGGTTTTTCTTCTATGGTCCAGGGGTTTCACTGGTTCATTAGACTGTAACCTAAAATAGACTCGACCAAAGCCTCACTAACTCCAGGACTAGACATGCATCCTTAGCTGATATTATGAGCTTCAGCTGGTCCTTGTGGAAGTTTTCTCTGTCATGATAGCCAAGTAAAAAGAACACAGGTTATCAGTTTAATCTTCTCCAGAATAGATAACCATATTTTCCTCTCCCAGGGAAAACTCAGTAACTTCTTTTCTCTAGGCAAGTGATTTCCAGGAGTATTTTTGGGCCACTATTAACCTGAGGACTTACACTGCAGGGTTCCTCATGTGCTGCTTCTCTTTTAACTAGGAAATTACAAGAATGCCTTACAGATGACTTTATTACAATAAGCAGAGCACACAGCTGCATTCTCCCTTTTATGGCCATCCAAGGGTTCTAGGAGCCCTGATATCCAGACTCTCTCCAGTGTTAGTTGAACAGTATATGGATAACTGCCTTTAGTCCCTTGTACTTAATTATAGATTGCACCAGGTATGTCACCCTGCAACTCACAACTGGCAACCGACTAAGCCTAGCCAGTACCTGGATGGGAGACCTCCTGGGAAAGCTAAGGTTGCTATTGGAAGAGGTATAGGTGGGACCAGCAGGGGGAATCACCCTGTGGTCTTTGTGGGTCTTAATGCCCTAGCATAGTGATGGGGACACTATACTGTAAAACAAAAAGTGCTTTCCTTCAGATGAGATGTACAACTAAGGTCCTGGCTGTCTTCATTGCTCTAGTCCACTTATATTTAAAGTGAATTCCTCTGCTAAACCTTTGACAACAGACACCATTTCTACCTGAGAGCTCCATCTCGATTTTAACTTCATAGTAAACCTCTGGGGAAAATTGACAGTGGGCCACCCCTCCTGGTCTTCCCTTCCAAAACCATGTTTTTTAGAAAGTGCCTGCTGGGTCATGGCTAGATACTTCCAGTACAGCCACTGTGCTTCTTCCCACACACACCTGTTGTCCTAGCAAAACATAACTAAAAACCTTTCCCCTATAAAAGAAGCTGTGCTAGGAGGCAAGTCTTACCAGGTCTTACATTTAAAATACCTTAACTGTGTGCCTCTTGCCAGGAGCCTCCTTCAACTTATTTAAAGTTGATTTTAAATCATAACCATATGCAGACTAATGTTCTACTACACCCATTTGCAAATGCAAACACTTAAGCACCACATACATTCCAACATCAAGTTTTTTTTTTTAAAATAATGCGTATCTATGCTCCCCAGACACCTAAACAGTAGAAAGTCTTTCACACCAGATCAAAATCATATTTGGTTTTCAGCATAACATCTTCTGGAGAGAAAGTAAGCAATTGAATGTGTTTTACAAGATGGGAAACTTATCTTTTTGTTTAATTGGGAAAACGACTACTCTTGAGAGCTTGATGGTCCCTAAGTGCTTTTTCACCCAAGAAGACAGCAGCACCATTATTTATGAAAGATTATTTTTATAGGACAGGACACAAAGTAGACAAACTACAATATGAATGTTTGGACATGAGAGATTAAGATGCATCTTTAAACTTTTCAGGCCTCCAGCCAGGCACTATGTACACCATTCACATTTATGCCATGAACGGTGAAGCTCGCAGTGCTCCATTCACTTTGACTGCCACCACAAGTAAGTATTCTTCTAACAAAGGACAAAGATTGTTTAATATTATGCAATTCAAAGGGACTTTTATTTACCATTGAAACATCTTTTTTGTTAAGAGTCTATTGTCACATTGCTTCAAAACATAATGTCTCTTGGAAGAGCAAGAAAATAGTTTTGTATTTTTGTTTTTTATACGTTTTGTATTTGTTTGTATGCTATTAAGCTTATTCTTTAAAGAGAAATATATAAAAGCTAGCATCCAAAAAGTATGCCATTTGGACTGAATACTAGGCATAATTCAGATGTTTAAAAGTTACATATAGTTAATCCAGAAGTCAGGGATATTTTTTGGAGAGCAAGAGTTTGTTACATTAATAGGATTGTAAAAGTTTTCTTTTCTTTAGATAAGCCAGCAGTTGAGTCTCCATCAAATATCAGGTTCATTTCCATCACTCCAAGCTCCATTTCCTTCACTTGGGAGCCCCCACGTGCCAGGGTGACTGGCTACTTCATCACCTATGAAGAGGCTGGTGGAAGCCGCAAGGAAATCACTCCACAGCCCCATGCTGGCATCAGTCAAGCTACAATATCTGGTACTTAGGCAGAATTTGGAATGTTCTGTTTACATGTTCGCTACTGTTGCTCATCCATATGGGTAACTCTTCTAGTACTTAACTATTTCTTCAGCAAACTACAGTGGTATACTCTGAAAGAAACCTTTCTTTAGGGTATTTACCAGTGAGGCAGGGGCAAGAATCCCAAATATTTAAAACTTCCCAAATATTTAAAACTATGATGGAGATTTGGTTACATTAAAATATAAAAACCTTTGGGATTGATTGGATAGTGCTTTTATCAATGTGATATTTCAAACTAAGAGTGCTCAAAAAGACTACAGTTATAAAAATGGGGACCTTCAATTTCAAGTATGATGTATATAAAAAATAAAGAACTGTCTTGAAATTGGATTGTTGTGCAAACAAGTGATACAAAATTATTGATCATTTTACCTCCCAAATTAAGAAAATCCAAGTATATTGCTGCATGTAATTTGTTCTTGAGCACAGCTTGGTGCCTGGAGTAATGACCACACAGCAGGCTTAACAAGAGATGTATTACAAGGAACACCAATACACTCGACAGATAAAGCTATATAAAAGCATTTACAGATAAAATAGAAAAAGGTAAGATCAGATAAGTCAGGCTTATCAGTCGTCACTTCTACAGAGATAGAAAAAAATCAGAATTATTTCCAGAGTTTGCGCTGATGTGCTAATGTCTTGATAAACAAAAGGATTCTTCCAAGGACTACATACTCTTAAAACAGAGGTTAATAAACAAATATGAAGTGATTTACCTGTTCTAAACAATGCATCATAAACCATTAAGGAGAGATTGCAGCCTGTGAATTCCACAATATAAGAAGTCAAAATTTCCACAAATAAGATTATGCACCCTTTCATGAAAGATACAGTTCTCTTCCAGTGTTCGTTGGATAAAAAAAAAAATTGTCATTTATTATGGAAGAATTATGCAGTCTGATGAAAGAGTTTATGCTTACTGTTGACAACTCCCTCTTCTGTGGTGTGTTTTTAATGTATTTCTCATCTCCATGAAAGCTGGCTTAATGACTAGAAATTGTCCTGTTAAATGTTGAATTAAGTCGGTTATAGTATAAAAATACTTAGTCAAAGTCAGCATTTAGGTAGCACTCTTTTGATTTTACTCCTTTGGATGTTTGACAGTTCTGACCATCTCGAGGATTTATGATGGCTACTTAAACACTTAAGACAATATCCATTGAATTGAAAATACAGAATAGGAAAACTTAGGTGGGAAGTACAAACATTTTAGCTAACCCTCAAACATGGAATATTTTTTGTTCCTAGATGTTCTTAATTTTTTTTCTGCTTTCATTAGGTCTGAGACCAGGCACAGAGTACATCATCAAGATCATTGCTTTACAGAATGCTTTGAGAAGTGCTCCACTTGTTGGGATTGCCCGAACACGTGAGTAGAAATAATATAAATAATTCCACAAACTCTTCTGGTGTTAGTTTTCATGAACCATTTTATAGTATAAAGCTTGTTTGGAATTTTTCAGACTAAATTGTTATATAAATACCAAAAGAAAGAACCTGCTGAATGTATAGTTTCATGGTTAAATATATAAGTGGGGGTTTTCAGTGATAAGTAGAGCCATGAAATACATAGAAATTGAAGGTACCTTTAAGTAGAACTGTTTGATGCAAGAGGTTTTTTTACTACAGGTTCTTCAGAAAGAAAGTTTACAGAAGATGCAGCTGAAATCTTTACTGCTTTACTATGACTGCTTATGCATGGAGTTGAGTGGTAGACCATATAAAAATATCAAATATTGCTAGTTCATGGGAAGAAGGATGAATTCTTCCTTTGTTAAATCATACACTACGGGGTTTCCCAGGCTGCTATTTTGTGTTACAGTGATTCATGAAGTGAGAACCGCAGGATATTTTTGGATAACTGCCTAAGTTGGTGGTTTAATTTAAATTATTTTCAAGTAATTAGTTGGATGGCAAAAGAGATAAGAAGGCTTTTGCTGTAGCTATATAATTGCTCTTTTGCTTGCATAAACAATGCTATATGCAATGCATATGCTATAAATATGGCAATAATATACTGTTTATTTCCAAACATACTTGCTGTAGCAGCTAACCATAGATCCCGACATGCTTGCTTCTAACACCCATCTCTCTGCTAGAACATGAACCTCAGCTGCCAAATCCCCAGCGACCAGTGCCTGATATCCTGGATGTTCCAGAGGTGATTCCCATCAGGTTTGATGACGACAATGGCATCCAGCTTGTGGGTACCAATGGGCATGGGCTAGGACAGCAGGGCCAGCACGTATACATTGAGAACCAGAGTCTGGGAAACTCTGGGCATCATGATCAAGGTGGGTCCCATAGCACTGGGCCCATACAATATTTTCCTTCACAGGGAAAATAGGGGATAGGTATTCAGTTGCCCTGTGTTAAATGAACCTCCTGTACATGGCTCTCCATTTCATATTCTAGACAATGAGACGGATACCACCCAGGAGGCCCAGTCACAGACTACTATTTCTTGGAATCCTCTGCAGCAAACCTCTGAATACCTAATTTCTTGCCACCCTTTGGCCCCCAATGAGCAGGTGTTCCAGGTAAGGTTCATGAAACCATTTAAAGTTTGAGACTGTCACACAAACTACATTTGGCTATAAAAGAAGACCTGTACTACTTAAATGTCTTTGAAACAGACTTGAAGATGGGAATTAATATTACAGTGTGACTGATTTAGCAACATCAGTGGGTAAGAGCAAATGCTCGTACCACTTCCTGGCTGCTGTGGCTTGACACCATTGATTGCTACAGCCCAGCCATATTACATATTACATATTACATATTACATATTACATATTACATTAGTGGCCATATGTGTCCACTGATGTAATAGGTAATTCTAAATGTATTTTGGTAGCCAATGTTTATCTGTTTTAGCTAGAACATTACTGTGCTATTGATCAATCAGGTTAAATGCATGCTAATAAGTGATGGCATGAAAGCAGAAGAAACTCTTTTGGTTATGGAGACTAATGGGAATGAGGGGCATCAGAATGTTTTTGTTTTGTTTGCTGGCTGAATAGAAAAGCAATGCCAAGAGTACATCCTTAAGCAAGAATTAGCATGGCAGTTTTTTCATCACTGACACCAAAACTAGAGGAAACCCTTGGTTTCAGTTCTTCTGCTTCAGCAGAAGGCTTCCTTAGACTTTTGTTCCTTCTGATCTCCTCTTGTCAGCTCTCTTAAGCTGCTTTCCTCTGTGGGTTTGCTCTGGCTCGTTTGGTTTCTCACTATCACTTTCACCATGTCTCTGGTTTTTATAGAGAGGACTGCAGATGTTAGATATCTTTAATCTGAACAGGAATATAAATTTTTCATAGAACTTTTGGAACCTTTGGATACAAGTATGCTTGCATTGTAATGCTGAATTGTTTTTCCAAAGTAGGTTGCACAGAAAGGTGGCTTGGAGATCCTTCAGATGTGGTGCATTAGTTATCAATTTAAAATTCTGGTAGAGTTGCACTAATTGATCAATTAAAATAAATTACATTATAAAATAAAAGTAAATAAAAATCTGTAGATCTCCAGAATTACAATTACAACCCTTACCTCCCTTTTCAGTCCATATGCGTCATTTAGACAACTTGGATCATTCTTATTTTAGGTACTGTGCCAGTAAGAATGTTAGTTGTATCATGTTTGAGGTTTGTTCTGATTTCGATGAGAATGTATTTGGCTTGCTGACCTTTAGCCGGAAGAGACAGGAAATTACAGCATGTCCTGAAATCTTGCCAACTGACTGGGAGTCACTGGGAAGCCATTCAGATTTCTCAACTGAGCTTGTAAGAAGCCTGCCCCTCTGCAGGAACCAGATGGGGCTTACTGTAAAGAGAAGGGAAATGTTAACACTAAAACTGAACAAAACTATCCTTCTTTGTGCAGTTTTAATCAATTTTATGCTTTACAGAGAAGTACCATCTTAAGAGATTTCAGCATTTTAAAATCAAATGGTTATTTTTTTTGTTAATAGTTTCGTGTGCCAGGAACTTCCACTAGTGCAACCCTTAATGGCCTCACATCTGGAGCTTCATATAACGTCATTGTTGAGGCCCTGAAAGGAGGGCTGAAGCATAAGGTTTTGGAGGAAATCATTACAGTAGGAAATGCTGGTAAGGATTAGTTTCTTGTCAATAATCTTCAATGCAGAAGTGGATTGAGTTCCTATTTCCTACTTAAAAAAGGTATATTTGGAGATGCTTACATTGCAGGGTTTACTGAAGAATTAGTGATATTGTACATTGTTTTTCTAATTGGCAAAACATTTTTAAATGGTATTTTTTCTAATAGTGGAAGGGGACAACTTTTGCAAGATGAAGTTAATGCAAGTTGGGAGAAACTCAGTGTTATGTTTTAGGTTGATGTAACGCAAAATTTGATTGACGTCTTTTGTAATAATGCGGGAGTGGGAGGAGCTCTGGTGAGTCCCATAAAGTTAACGCCCCGTCTAAGGGGCAAAGGTACCGGTGTGAGGTTAGCAGACAGCCTTACGCTCACATCACAGTTCTGACGCTGGAATGATTCTCCCCTTGGAGGCTCAGCCTCCACACTGAACACAGCCCCACATAATGCCACGCTTTTCACTGAAGTCAGTTCATGCAATTAAAGCACCTTAGTGTTTAACAAATTTTCTTTTCTTGCAATTTCAGAAGGGGTTCCCACAAAAGATATGTGCTATGATACTTTCACCGCAACATACCATGAAGTTGGAGCTGAGTGGGAGCGCATGTCAGAAACTGGTTTTAAGCTGTGGTGTACTTGCTTAGGCTTTGGCAGTGGCCATTTCAGGTGTGACTCATCCAGTGAGTAATCATCTCTTTTTTTCCCTTGATATGCTGGTAACTAATGTTAAGTGAACACAACTGTGCTAAGGTTATAGGTTTAATTTCCGATTGTAATTGTAAAGAGTATGAAACTGAGTTCCGGTGAAAAGCAAACCACATAATAGATCACAATTTTTAAATTTGAGTGTAGTTGAGTGTATTAATGGTTTTTAGGAAGCAGGAAAATATGCCCTAATTATTGTGAAAAGGTTTTGAGTATTTTATGCAAATTCAGTCTTCTTGATTTCTTTTACTGGTCATGGACAAGTTTTACCTAACTTCAGGTTTTTCATGCATTTTGTCTAATTTAAGAATTGATATGCATTTATGTCATATAGCAGGTTTGTCAAAATTCAGTGTTCTGAAAATTTTTCCCCAACCTTTTATTATATTAGACGTTTTGCTATTTACACTTGAGTTAGAGTAGCATTTTGAAGCTAAATTTAGTAGATGAGGAAACCCATTATACTTTTAGAATCATTTCTGGAATTACATCACTGTATCATGCCTAGTTTGCTCACTTTTTCTTTATCAAGTGACAAAACCTAAGGGTTTCTACAATTTGCTTTAGGATGCAATTCTGAGCAGGTTTCCTAATTTCTGAAGTATGGACTTCATCCTCACATCTGGTGTGAGGATGGCCCTAGAGTCATGGCCCTACATGTTTTATAGGGAATCTCAATTTGTTTTAATTTAGACAATGCTATAACAGCAGGTTAAAATTGATTTTATTATCTAGTTTAAAAGAATGGACAGAATACCAGAATTTGACTGGTGCCATATTAAATCCCAAGGAAACAAAAAAAAAAATCAATTGTAAGATGTATGCACAAATATTTTAACCACAAGGGGGGTTTGTTTTGTGGGTCATTTGGGGTTCTTCTGGCATTGAATATTAAGATTGGTCTTGTACAGAGCTCAAATTACCAGCTGTTTTTTTTTAATTCATCTAAGAAACTCCAGTCTGGCCTATGAAAGGTGGGAACTCATTCAAAGTGCCATTTCTTCATCAGAGGATGTAAAATCATCTTTATACTATACTTCCTTTCCTCTGCCACTTTAAAAATGGGTTGGGTTGCTGACATCCTAAGAATTCAGCCTTCCATGGATCCTTCTAGTGCTGTCATTTCTGAGGATTTCTGAATCTGGCTATTTGGACCGTTGTGGCTGTCTCAACTGATAAAATAAGGGGGCAGCCATAGGGCTCCAATTTTACTAGCTCTTGCTTTTGAGAATGCATATGGTCTCGCCCTAAAAATTAGAAATGTGTGTAATGAGATATAACATAACTACAGTGCAGTCTGTAAGTATTTGGACAGTGACACAATTTTTGCTGTTTTGGCTCTGTACTTCAGCACATTGGATTTGAAATAAAACAATGACTATGAGGTTAAAGTGCAGAATGTCAGCTTTAATTTGAGGGTTTTTTAGTCTGTACTGGGTGAACCATTTAGGAATCACAGCCCTTTTTCTAAATAGTCCCCCCATGGGACCAAAAGTAACTGGACACATTAACATAATCTTAAATAAAATGTGGCATGTTTGCAAATCCTTTGCAATTGATGACTGCCTGAAGTCTGCAACCCATTGACATCACCAGATGTTTGGTATCTTTCCTGGTGATGCTCTGCCAGGTCTGTAATTCAGCCATTTTCAGTTCATGCTTGTTTTGGGGGGCTTTTGCTTTCAGTCTTGTCTTCAGTAAGTGAAATGCATGCTCAATGGAATTCAGGGTGGGTGATTGACTTGGCCAGTTAAAAACATTCCACTTTTTGCCCCAGAAAAATTCCCATCGTTGCTTTAGCAGTATGCTTAGGGTCATTGTCCTGCTACAGGGTGAATTGCCATCCAATGAAGCATTTGGTTCAGAGCAGATATGCTTCTGTACACTTCAGAATTCATCCTGCTGCTGCCATCTGCAGTCACATCATCAATAAAGACAAGTGAGCCAGTTCCACTGGCAGCCATACATGCCCAAGCCATGACACTCTTCCTTTGCCGTGTTTCACAGATAAGGTGGTATGCTTTGGATCATTAGCAGTTCCATTTTTTTTTTCTCCATACTCTTCTTGTTCCATCACTCTGGTACAGGTTAATCTTTGTCTCATCTGTCCATAAGTCTTTGTCCCAGAACTCTAGAAGCTTTTTTATGTACTTTTTAGCAAACTGTAACCTGGCCATTTTATTAGTGGTTTGCATCTTGTGGTGAACCCTCTGAGATTATGCTGGTTTAATCTTCTCTTTATGGTAGTCTTTGACACATCTATGCCTACACACTGGAGAGCGTTCATGATCTGTTCAGTAGTTGAAAAGGGGTTTTGCTTCACGATTGAAAGTATTCTTCGGTCATCCACTACTGTGGTCCTCCATGGTATACCAGGTCGTTTGCAATTGCTAAGCTCACCTGTGTGTTCTGGCTTCTTAATGTACTAAACAGTTGATGTTGACACACCTAATGTTTTGGCTATGTCTCTGATTTATTCTGATTTTTCAGCCTTATGGTGGCCCGCTTTAATGGCATTAATACTTCTTTGGTCCTCATGTTGAGAGACAACAGCAACAGACTCCAGATGCAAATACCACTTCTAGAATCAACTCTAGACCTTTTGTTAGCTCTCTTGTGCATGAACTAATGATGCAACAACATACAGCTGGCCAAGAAACAACTGAGCAGCCAATTGTCTAATTACTTTTGGTCCCCTAAAATGGGAGGACTATGTATAAAAAGGGCCGCGATTCCTATGTGGTCCTCCCAATATAGATGTAAATACCCTCGTATTAACGTTGTAACCATTGTTTAATTTCAAATCCAATGTGCTGGACTACAGAGCGAAAACAGCAAAAATTGTCACTGTCCAAATACTTATGGATTGCACTGTATATCCACAATATTTATAGTCCTGAAAGCTTTCGATTTAAACTTATTCTAAAATTAAATCCCAGGGTTCTTCTAGGTATGTATGCATGTGGACTGGAAAAGGGAAAACAATGTATCATATAAAGGAACATCATCCCTAATACTCATGTGAGCGGTGGTGTACTGCAGGGGTCTGTTTTTGACCTTTTGGACTTCCTGATCTATGTCAATGACTTGGATTCTCTTACAGTTAAACAAGTTGAATTTGCAAATAAAGTTATTCCATACCACAAACACCTAGACAAAATCTTGTATTGTACAAAGTCTTAGAGAATTAATGATTTAATGCTTATGCAATTTTCCAGCAACTTGCGTCATTCAAGACGACTGTGGTAGTCAGTTTATAAAAATTTCACTAACGTTTTCTAAAACTGTACATGCATAGTTCTGATTTTCTTTTGAATATCAGTTTAGATGTCCTGGTAGAAATCTTTGTGTAGAAATCTTTGCATATTGTAATTCAATTACAGAATTAAGGTGTATGATAGATGTTGGCTAGAATCTGACAGTGGAAATGTATTTTCCTTTGACGAGGAAAGGTGTGTACATGTATTACAAAAAACAATTGAAGCATTATACTGTTGTCATACAAATGACAAAGTTCAGATGTCTGTTAAGCAGAAGTCTCTATTTCATGTGCATACTGTATGAAAGTCCGGCTTGCAACCACCAGACTTAAAAATAAGTAGCTAAAGATGCTCTTTTATACTGAGCAACCAAGCTACTACGACACATTCTAAACAGATAAGATAGCAATACATGCCAATATTATTAATTATATCTAAGTTGCAGACTTTTCATGTTCTTTTCATGTTCTGGGCATATACCCAGCTTACCAAATACATGCCCATTATCTTACTGACCAAGGACAGGCAGTATCTTTATATATTTGGGCACAAAGCCAACTTCAAACCACTAGACTTCATAGTTTGCAGAAATACAAATACAAAAAAAATCTCAATTCCCAGGTGTCTCCCTTATCTCTTCAATACTAAGTATGAATAGAAATCTGAAGTAGGTATTGGAATGTGCTATTTATTTATTTTTTTAGAGTGGTGCCATGACAATGGGAACAACTATCGAATTGGTGAGAAATGGAACCGCCAGACAGAGAACGGTCATATGATGAGCTGTACATGCTTGGGTAATGGCAAAGGAGAGTTCAAGTGTGAGCCTCGTAAGTGTTATGTAATTACTAAAAATGTAACCTTAAGTTGGCATTATATTTTGTGTCCTATTTGATTGGGAAATCTAGCTTCTTTGCTGTTAGTTTTAAAGTTAAAATCTCAACGTTACTAGGTAAGCATTTTAAAAAACTGTCCAATTCAACAAATGTATTATGTTTTGGTTGTTAGATGCCTGTAAATTGTACTTTTTGCTTAATGGCACCAACAGGGTGGTTTTCAAAGCCTGTTTTATGCACCTTTTTTCTGAACTGTTTCAAGGAGAAATTCTAGTAGGAGACCCTATAGACTTGGTGGGGGGGGGTTAAGTTAATGTTCAATTTTTACTTGTTTTTTATGGATTTTTTAATACATTTAGACAAGTAGACAAAGTCACCGGGGCAAAAATTTTAGATTTTCTAAAGTTTCCTCCCTCTAATGTTGTATGTGTTTGGAATTTTCTATATTTGCAAAGATGAAGCCACCTGCTATGATGAAGGTAAAATGTACCAGGTTGGACAGCAGTGGCAGAAGGAATATCTTGGAGCTATCTGCACCTGCACATGCTTTGGTGGACAGCAGGTAAACTTGTTCTTCTGCACTTAGTATAGTGAAACTGGTATTTGGGCATTGTTTATTAGGTTTATGCTTTTTCAATCATTTGCTTGTACCAATAATTTGAGTTCACAAGTCCACATACTTATGCAAACAACATATTTCATATTTACTGTAATAGCTTACCCTTAAGGCTTTTGTTTATTCATTCAAATTGGTAATAAAATTAAGGTTTTAGAAATATTTATGTATCATTTTCTAATTTCACAAAATGGGCTAACATAAAAAGGATATGAATACTTTTGGTAATGCTTTATATATGTGCTCCCGGATATATAGTTGGAGGTAATGCAGTGGCTTCTCTTGCAAGGTTTTTCTTTATGAATCCGAATGCTTATGTAGTTTTTTCTTTTTGCAGATATTTAATGTAAATATTCTTCAGGTATTCAGAGAAGTTAAATGCACACATTTCATTTTGTATGTAATGCAATACCATCAGATCAGGTCTGAAATAGCAAAACTTCACCAAGCACGTATACAGCCATTTACAGTGCCTTGCACAATTTGTCAATGCTGCATATAGGGTTTTACAGTAAGTGCTATTTTTTTGCCTGTAGGGATGGCGTTGTGAAAACTGTCGCAGGCCCTCTGCTGAAGTAGATGTCTCCCTACCATCCACACAGACGCACTTTTCTGACAGATACAGGGACAACACTCTGAGGAAAGTTGTAAGTGTAATTATTATTTCTATATCATGTATCCCACCAGTGCTAACAAATCACTAAAGATCTACAGCGCAAGATGTTTTATTTTCATTTTTAAATTGGAAATAACCATTTGAACCCTTGTTTTCTGAGAATCTCTGGAAGCCATTTCTCCCATCAAAGATTTGAACTCAGCATTTTGAAAATCTAATGCTTTCCACGTTTGTATTGACATTTTTCCCCAATAATCTAAATGTAACGTTTGATTGAAGTTTTATTTTTCTGCATTTTTTCCAAAAGTTTAGTAATGTTTTTTTTTTCCCGGCAGCACATCAAGTGTCCCATTGAGTGCACAAGGCCAGAGCTGCTTGCGGATGCACATGTTCCTGGAAAATAAGAAGAGAAGCCTTCTTGAACTACATCCAAAGCCAGTGGTGCCATTGAGTTCTTATCTGAAAACTGTAATAACACCTCTGTGCCTTATTTAAACATAACACTGCTATCATTCCAAATCACAGCTTTTCAGAGTATCATGAAGTGTTCAATACTTGAAAAGTATTTTTTTTCCTTTTTAAGACACTTTAAAAGCATTCCCTGCATAGCATTTGTAAACCAATATAGTATTCTTTAAAGCACGATAGCCCTATGGTCTTTTAGATTTTTAAATACACACTACTCCCAAAACCTCCTGATAGGGACACAAAACTCCCCAACAGTGTCATCCAAGACTAGTTAAATCTACCGTTACAATTCTAAAATGCTGGACCCCATTTACGTCCTTACATTCTGTTTTGTACTATTCCATTTTATAAAATGCAAAGCATCTTAATGGGTCATTACTCTTTTAATTTGTTCTTTTTCTCCTTCAGCACCTGTTTCTTCATTTTACTGGTGCAGCACTGTTTTTAATGTAGTAGTTAACAGTTCTCTTAAGTAACTGTTTTTTCATCCTGTAATCTTACTTTGCTTGGATAAAAGAGGGGTACAAGTGCACACCAAGATGTAAACAAGATTTTTTTTATTATTTTTATATTGTAGTTGCCAAAGCCATTACTTCTGTGGACAGAAACCCCTTATTAGTAAAGTTTTACAAGAACCTCAGTGTTGGTCTTCATCTCTTTGACTACCATGTACAATTGAGTATTTTATTAGAATCCAGTCCTGGCACTATCTTGGATGTGCAAGCAATAAAGATAAAAAAACATCCCACCCTCAAGTCAGGGAATACTGAGTACTGCATAGTTGTTCTTGGGTTCATTGTCGAACAACAATTATCACTCTTAACAACATCATTCTGTCAGGACCATCGCTACAGTCAAGTGTAACAGTTTAATAATATGCCTTGCTTAGAATTAAGTGTTCTTAAAGATTTTTCTGTAGCTTTGATAAAGTTGCTTGGGCCTCTGTGTAAGCATAGGGATGCAGGTAGAAGGGTCCCATCTGATGATAAACATCGTCTGGGTATGGAACGCAGACCAGGACATCATAAAGCCGTGTTCATTATGAAGCACATTAATTAAATGTGGTGCAGTCCGTCTCCCCTGTGTCACCTTCAGCCCAATGCAGTGGGTCAGAGGTCACTGTCCTTCACTCACAGGATGATCAGCCAATGAGTTATCTGCACAATGCATCTGTGCTTTCTGACTTTATAAAAGTAGTATTAATTTTGTTTAACTCAATTTCTCTTCAACTAACCTGGCACTGACATTCCCAACTATGGGACTGCTAAATCAGGACTTTTTATCCCAATATGACAGGCTGAGAGAGTTCATAAACAATTCTGCCCAAGATTTCTTCCAATGTGTTTTGTGAACCAATTATTTTTTGCTTCATCAATGCAATTAAACAAGACTTTGTTGAGATATTGAATATTCCAGCATGATCAGTAAAAAGTTATAGCTGGGATGAACCCAAGTGTCTCCCACCCAAGCAGATGACTGCATAGACTGTTATGAAGACCTAAGTTCTTGTATGATGCCAACTTCCTTGAGGAGCTACTGTGTACTCGGCAACATTAGGTAAAGTTTCCCCCCCTTTGCTCTCTACACTGGGATTATGGGTACAAACATAGCACTAATGAATGAGACTGGTTTGGTTCTTTTGTGCTGTTATAGGGGGTGGAGTGATGTCACACCCCACTCTGTGCTTCATGCCACCTTAGCAAAGCGTCATTATCGGTCAGGGGTGTTGCAGGTATCGCCAATCGAAGATTTTTTTTCTATTACAAACAAAACCTGCTGTTCGTGTACAGAGAATGTATGAGTCGCATGCAACCTAGCCGATTTTAAGGTACTGTACAACGTTGTCGCATGACACTGGGCACGAGAGTCGGCAGTTGGTAAGCAGCATACAAGTTGACCGTAGCTCCCTGTGCGTCTTTGGTGTTTCACAATGTTTCTAGGAGTGGTTATTTTGTGTGTTTTTTGTTACATGATCGCAATGGAGTGGTTTTTAAACATGAGTAAAAAATGTGAAGAACACGGAGCCTTGTTCTAAAGAGAAACAAATGCAAATACAGGAAGTATGACGAGAGTTACTTGGATTTTTGTTTCATGTGCATAACTGGACAACTTCCTCAGTGTGTTGTCTGCCTAAAAGCGTTGGCTGCTGAGAGCATGCTACCCAGTAAATTGAAATGTCATTTGGAAACTGTTCACAGAAATTGGTAAGTTTTGGTGTTTGGATTTTGGAGCCTAGTAAATCAGGATTTATTTTCATATTACAAATGTGTTGACTTTTTTTCAAATTGTTTTCACATTCAAACAATTTCAATAAAATGTTTTTCAAGTATTTTAACCATTTTGATTGAGCGTTTACAAGTATTTTAGTTTTGAAAATGATTAAAAATATTATAATATAATTAAAATTGAATCAATGTTTTTATTTTGACCTATCATTTCCTTTTCAAATGCAAAATATCACACTGCCTTATTTTGGACACGGGTGACGTGGAAAATTTGACTGGTCAAGGGAGGCATGAAAAAGTTTGGGAATCCCTCCTTTAGACTATTCTTCCTCTATGTAAGACTGCATCAGCCATTACATCCTTAATTCTTATGCTGTCTCTGACAGTTTTCTTACATCCTTTTCAAGAGCCATACAGTACTTTTCAAATGTGTACCATACATTATATATATAATAACTGCAACTATGAGAAGATAGTAATTTCTAAACATCCCCTCTTAATGTGGATAAGTTGAAAATCCACTGCTGCTCTCTGACTCGCATTTTATTTTATTAATTCCCATTTTTTCGAAAGAAATACCACTATAGACATTTCCTCTGGTGCATTATGGGAAACGGTTAAGGCTTATAGTATCTTTAAGGGCAAATAACTTTATTAAGACCAAGAACTTGCAGATGCTGAATTGACCACTTATAGTTTATAAACAGACCAGGCAAGTGCTGAAAACACCTTACATTTATAAAAAGCTCCTACCCTTTTAAAGTGAATTTAATCTTTTTGCAACATTTAATCTTTTTGAATATTCCCCAAAACTTCACTAGAGTTCCCCTGTTGCCACCCCCGATGGCAATCAGTTCAAGCAAAGTGGCAAATCTCCAGTTTTTCAAACGGTTCGCTCAGCAACCTCTGCTTGTACTTAACACTAACATGTTTTACCCCTTCTCAAGATACTACACTGTTGTTGCTGAAGAAAGATAACCCCCCCAATTTTTGCATCTCTTATTTCTGACCTTAACTGGTTAAGATCCTTGCCAGATCTAGTCAAGTCCTAGTACGTTGACTAGAATCCTTGCCAAAAATCTAGCATCTAGTCTGCCCTTCCTTAACAAATCACAAAAGATTTATGAAAAGGCAATTTCTGTTCTAGTTTGAAATATTATTTACACTCCATCAACATGGACACTCCTTGAAGTCCTTGTTGAGTAGTGAAATGAGTAGAGATACTTATTTAATACTACCATTCAATTTGGCTTTGGTCGTTTTCATCACCTAGGTCAATACATTGCCTTTAGCATCTAGTTTAACTCAGGACAATACTTTACACTGTATGCCTTGTCATGGAACAAGGTAGGGATATCCACTTTCATCACTGTTTATTGAATTCATTTGAAGTGTGTAGAACAAGAACATAAAAGTTTTCTTATATACTATCTATATATTTCCTATATAATCATAGTATACAGATTAATTACTTCATATTTCTGATCCTACTGGCTTTATTCCACAACAAAATAGACAATGCCTTTTAAATCCTGTCACATTTCTGAGTATAAATTAAATTTTGATGAGTGAACTTAATCACATTAATTATATTCTCCCATTAAAGGCTGCCACTCTATATCCACTATATAGAATGCACAAAACAATATCTCATCCGAAGTTCCACCATTCTCAGTTTGGGTAGAATTAATTCAGTGAAAATGACCATTTTATTTACCTTAGGGCCGGTTTCCACCTGTGGCTGGAAAGTTGCCGGTTCGTATCCCACAGCTGGTAGAGGAATCCTACTTCGTTGGGCCCCTGAGCAAGGCCCTTAACTCCAACTTCTCCAGGAGCGCCATATAAATGGGTGACCCTGCGCTCTGACCCCAACCTTCTTTCCCTGTCTGTGTGTCTCATGGAGAGCAAACGGTTCAGTCAGTTTAAGGAGAGGAAGAGTCCGGGTCCCGATTCTGTTGGGGGCAGTGTACTGAAAAGGTGTGCTCGACAGCTGTGTGGCATCTTTTATTTTTCAGTTGTCATTAACCCAAGAAAAGGTTCCTTAGGTGTGGAAAGAATCAGTTGTTGTCCCAGTGGCAAAAGTCAAATCTCCCAGTTCACTCAATGATTACAGACCAGTAGCCCTCACCTCTCTGGTTATGAAAAGTTTTGAACAGATTGTGAAAAATGAGATTGTGGCTTAAGTACAGGATCAGCTAGATCCATTCCAGTTTTCTTACAGGGCAGGTATGGGGGTGGAAGATGCTACAGAATGCCTTCTCAATCTCATCCTCCAACAACCTTGAGGGAAACGAGATCCATGCTAGAGTGCTATTGGTGAATTGTATTCAATCTCACCTACTGGCAACTAAACTATTGTCAAACTTGATCTCAATCTCAATCTCTTCAACTGGGTTACTGATTTCCTAACAGATAGAACTCAGAAGGTGAGACTTAATGTTTTATCTAATAAACATCACTTTTCTACTGGGTCCCTCCAGGGATGAGTATTGTCTCCCTTACTCTTTGTCCTATACACAAATGACTGCAAGAGCTATCACAACTCGAGACACAATCAAATTTGCAGACGGCTGTCATCGTTACTCCTGCAATCAAAGGATTAGAGCCACAGACTCATCGCTGGTTTTGGACACATTTAGCTTGAGGAAGCTTTGTTCACACCAGTTGGCAAAGACATGATAATTGGCTTCAGGAAAAAACCTCACCCTAACCTACATTGGGGGAAATTCAGTGGAACTAGTAGAACAATACTACAAATTAAGTCTATAAACACTATAAATTAGAACAATACTAGCTCCACAGCCTTTAGTACTTGGGGACTGTTCTGGTCTCAAAGCTAAATTTCGAAGCCAATACTGACTTGATCCTCAAAAAAGGACAACAGCATATTTTTTCTTAAGGAAGCTTAAGCATTTTAAGGTTGATGACTCATTGTTGATTTTGTTCTGTCCTTCCTTGAATGTATTTTAACTTTTACCCTGAACTGCGGGATGAGGATTTGAATTTAGTTTACTTTGACAGTGCTTTCTCTTACCAAGTATTCTACTACGTGAGGACTATAAGAACATCAAAAATGAGAGAAAAAATACATGTCTATAAGTTTATTTAATCAAAAAAAGCAGACAGGTATCACATCATCAAGCAATCTTTTATGGAATAATGGGAACCAACACCCGTGGTTGGCCTTCCAAGAGGAATGATGATCTTGCAATGTGAGTGTCTCAGTGGTGGAACAGACGCAGGTTAGTGTGTACCAGTGTTATTCCCAGCTCATTGCAGGCACCAATCACTGCTTGGTCTGCTGCTGATCCAGAAGGAGCTGCAATATATTCCACTCCACTCTAGAAAAAAAAGACATTGAGCCCTTATCTGTGTCATTATATATAGACTGAGAAGAGTAAATGACTTAACAGGTGTTCATTATTTTTAAATCTCGAGGGAGATGTTTTACCAGGTTTACATCTACACATACATAAAAGCGCACTATTGCACTATTCACAAAGTTCAAGCTGAAATTTCTTTAAACATGCAAGCATAAAAAATGAATCATGCTGCTTCTTTTTACACATTCCTCAAGTGCAAAAACAGTGGTCAGATGTTTTTCAGCATTTGTTTGCCTCTTTCTGAGGTCCATTGATATCTATTGTGTCTTGCTCTGGTCTGAAAACTGAATTAAAATGTAAAAAAAAATGTTACATAATGTGAAAATGAGCAGAAAGCACATTTTGTATAGTTATGTCATTAAAAAAACTACCTGTTTAGCTCGATCCACATTGTCTCTGAATGGGAAGAAGGCATCAGAGCTGAGAGCCACAGCCTTTAGTGTTCTAATCCAGTCCTTTTTCTCATTTTCAGACAGCAAAACAGGAACCTCCTCAAACAGTGCCTTCCAGGCTTCCAGATCAGCACCCTGAAAGGAAGTGAAACTGAACTGGTTACTTATCATCAAAAATCTGAGCTAAATCAAAAACAAGTAAAGTTTAATTCAATTTACTGATTTACATGCCATTGATACTTTGATGTCAATAAAAGCCCTACTTACATTTTAATTAATAAAACATATAAATTAATTACATATAAAATTAATTTACTGCCATTTACTGTGATCCTTGAAAAATAAATGTATGTCACTGTCTGCTATAATCAGAAAACATCAGGCCAAAACATCAGAAATTAATTGAACAATTCTGATACCAGCTCTTGCATGAATTCAGCAGCATACTATAAATTGTGTAATGTTTTAAAAGTTCTTTAAAATCTTGGAAATAGCGAAAAGCTGAGGTGCCAGTGTCCCAAGACAGAGGTTGAATTCATTCATACATGCGGTGATGTTTGCTGGAAACAGTTTTGCAACTTTTTGTTCATTGTGCAGTTTGATTTTACTCTTAAGTGTGAAAAATGTTATCAGCAGCATGGATTGTGAGACTTGCTGTGAAAACAAAAGACCAGCCTTGCTAAAACTAATGCATACAAGTGATTCCTTTATTCTGTACCAAAGCTTTCATTGTAGTAGTAAATTACAGAACAGTCAAATATAGTTTATCATTTTTTAACTTGGATTCTTCATGGCTTAATAGACTTTTATTGCGCATGCCACACATGCTGTAGGTTACCAACCCCTACTCTACATGCTTTACTAACTGTAACCATCTTTCAAAATATGCATCTGTCATGTTTGGTGGTGAATGATAATTCGTTTCCTGGTCATTTGAGGCTATAGAGAAAGTCTATAAAACAGCAAAAAGGCTAATTTCAGGGTTTAAAGCTTTGAAGCCCTGAAGGTTTAAATGAAATTAACCCAAGCAGGCATAGCCACATTAACATTAACCCAACCAGGCACAGCCATATTAACACTATTCAGATAGTAGTTGTCTGAGGCTTTGATAAATCTTACAGGAAAAAATTGTTAACCTTGCCTTTTACATATTATAACATTTTAAGTACTGTAAGTTTACCAGAAATTGAATTTTTGCTTAAGAGAAACGACACCACTCAGGATGACCAAGGTAATTCCACCTGCTTTACTGTCTCAGCAACAAACACCCCACCCCCAAATCTCTCAAAAACACAGTTGCTAACCACCAGACCACTGAAGTGAAGACAACAGGAGGATGGTAGCTTCGCTGCTGACAAGGTTACAAGCAAAAACCAGGCTAGGAGTCTTAATAGGTAACTATTACAACTATAGGGAAAAAACAATCACATAAAGGCAACATGTGTGCTTACATCAAATGCTTAGTCCTTTCCCATTAGCCCCTCTAGGGCACAGGCTGCTTAATTAAAGCGCCGTCAATGTCTGCAATAGAACCCCAAGGCTGCTAGATGTCACTAGTATTAATTTTTGCTTGGTTTTTACTGTACTTTTTTGCAAGGAAGGAAGGGAAATTGATGCAATCTATTCTTTATTAAGGAAAGGAAAAGTATACCATTAAAATGTGGGGAACTGTTTATTAGTGAAAATATGTTTTCTCTAACCCTTAACCCAAACTAACCAAAATTTTGTAATTACTCATTTACTGAAACAGGAAATCCACTCTTATTCTTAAACTTAAAAATGTAAGCCCTAGGATGCAAATAATATTTTAGAAATGTGATTAAGATTTCCCTACCGCCCCAAGGGACCCACTAACAAACTGGTCGATGGCATTGGCAATTTCAGCTCTCTTCACTCCAGGCTTAAACTTCATGGTCAGCACCCTGGGGTGGTGTCTCAGCCACCAGTTATCGGCTTTGTCTCCAGCCAAGCGAGTGCAATGGATACGAGACTGCTGTCCAGCACCAATCCCAATAACCTGACAAAGAACACAAACAAGGTATTAAAAATGGTCAGCATTTCCTACATTATTTTACCCCTTCTATGCTAAATCTCAACAATTACAAAATACAATACTGTATATGACTAGTATTTTATAAAGTTATATTAAGAATACATGTAAAGGTTTTGCCCTAAGGCCTCTTCAACCTTTCGGTACTGAAGTACCAAGTACTTTTTTTAGTCTCATTTAAAGCAGAAGCTTTGCCATACAATAAAAAAAATCATAATTCAAATAAATGATTTTCATTAACTACTTATATGAACAGTACAGAACAACACTGCAGAAAATGGTTAGGACACTACATTTGTAGCATTACACATATAATGAACATTCAAGCTACATCATAGTGGCAAAATTCAAAAATAAAAATCTCTCTTGGTATGGTGTGGTATCTGGCAGTATCTGTATCTCAGAATTACGAGTTTATATCTCTCAATTGCAACTTAGAATTGCGACTTTAAATCTCGCAATTGTGACATCACTTCTGGAGCCAGCAATGAACATAGCCAGGCCAGGTCTCCTTTTGGAATGCAATGTTTAGGAATATAAACTGGAAATTAGTTTGGACAATTGCAGATACTGCCTTACAAATAAAGTTAAAGAAATTTCATTTAAGATCGTTCACAGATTTTATCCTTGACACTTTCTAGATTTAAACACAAACAAGACAACTTATGTGTATTTTATAATAATGAGAAGGAATCTCTGTTACATTTGTTTGTTAATTGCATATATACAAACACAATTTTGGATACATTTGGAAAATGTTATTATTAAACATTTAAAGGTAAATGTTACATTTTAAGTTTTTTATATTTTATATTTTGTTAGATCTGATTTGGATAAAGTATATGTTCTTATTATTAATTTGTTAATTATTTTGGCTAAATACTTCATCCATAAAAGTAAATGGTATAATACTGCTCCCTCTATTAATGCTTTTAAAGTATGATTCCTTTTTTACTTAAATTCTATTAGAAATTTAAATGTTAAAAGTATAATTTCCTGCTTTAAGAACTGTGAATTCCTCTGGATGTGAAGTGCCTATTTCTGTATCTTTTTTCATAGTCTGTCTCTTTTTTTGTATTTCTGGTGTTTAAATAAAAACTTTTTAAAAAAGACCACTATTCCATCCGGGTATTATGGAAGCCTCCCTGGAGGAAATGGGATTCCATAAAACTGTAATTAATTATATTTTTATCAGGGCACTTGAGAAGACAAGTCTTCAGGCCTATAGATCTATGATCCTGTATGATTTATGAATATAGTGTAACGGAAGGTCTTCTTTAGCTCAGCTGGCAAAACCTGGGTTTGAGCTCATGCAGTGAGGCAAGGACTAGGGTGGGAGTGGCGAGGGTACAAGCCATAGAACCCGAATCCATTACAATAACAAAAGGACAGACAATGAAATGTGGACTATTTTGAAGTAGCAAATGTGAGATAAAAAATCGCAATTGCGAGATTTTAAGTCGTAATTCTGAGATTTTATGTCGCAACAACGAGATATAAACTCGGAATTCTGAGATTTAAAGTCTCAATTGCGAGATGCCACAGTGCATTTTTTTACTTTCATGTAAAAAAAATGTTTAATGTAAAAAAATTACACCTTATATATTTACCCCTGAAGTCATAATTTAATCTAAAGCCTTAGTGAAATCATTTTGTTTGTCAAAATCACACCTTTATTAATAGATAAAGTATTTTATTCCTTGAGGAATAAAACATTTATTATGTTGCTGCTTAACATCACTTCAGTAAACACATATACAGCTCTTAAAGATTATAGAGGAATTAAATCATTATCCTGCAATACTTTAACATACTTGTTGTATGTTTAATTTTAGTGATAATGAAATATGTTGAGCACCTTCCCTACAGGAGGTACTTTGATCAATAAGTGGCTCTATTATAAAACGTGGATCAGTTGATCAATAAATACAACACAACACAATCTTACAGTGACTAAACATCAGTGAACTATCACATACAGATGCAGCCATTCAAAATGAGCAGTAAAACCCCATACTGCGCTAAATGATCTGCAGTTTAGCGCGTTATACAGCTGTACGTGATTGGCTGGCCAAAATGACCGACAGGCGGCACTTGCGGTGCATTGGTTGTGAGTGAAACGATTGTTTCATTTAATCTCTCTACTGTGCATGCTTAAATCTGCTAAATATTTAATATTAATATGGAATTTTACAACTAAAGGGGAATTTTAGTAGCTCAGCATAAAAAGAAGAGGAGCATAACATGTTTGAAGGTCATAAACGATATTAATTTAGGAATATAAACATATTATGTAAACTGTATACTGGTATTGGTAGTTTAAATAACAAATACACACCAGTATTCCACTTTCTTCATAAACATTTTAAGCATCAAGGTCTTTCATTCGGTTACATACTGTGGTTTATTTTGGAAAAGTTTTTACGTGCTTTTTACGTGGGTTAAGACAAAATATAGATTTTCTCAATTTGGATGCAAACCTGAAAGAGAGACATAATGTTCACAATAAACTATCATAGTGGACTATTTTTTTGCATTCAGATATATGAGAAACAAACTGAAAGTAATGTTCCAATCACGTTTTGAACCGCCTCAAGAAGTTATAAGCCACTTCTGAGAGTGAAACCAGAAATACAACGAATCATGGCTGTGAAACCCAGTTCTCCCAGATGAGGTACAATTATATCTCATGCTTTATTTACCTGGCCATCCTTGGCATAGCACACAGAGTTGGACTGGGTGTACTTGACAGCTATGGTGGCTACAAGTAAGTCTTGAACAGCCTGCTCCGACAGCTGAAATAATAGAAGGGTAAGATATCAGATTAAGGCCAAAGAAGTTAAAACAGAGTTTCACAAATGCTTTCTGTACAGCAAAAGATATATACACAACCTTTAATATAGATAAATGATCTTTACTCAACTCACATTTAAGAGTCAAAGATAAGAACACTAAAAATACTGAATTCAATGGTATCTGCTTATACCTAAGACATAGGTATGGTCAAGCTCACACAAAACATTTTTAGGGTGTACAAATATTGCTCCAAGATCTCTTACCTTTAAATTATAGTAACTTAAATATAGCAATTACACACAAATGTATTAGTCCTGTGATATATGCTACATAAGTTATGACTGCTTAGGTCATAAAAATTACAAAAAATATTTCCCTTCTCTAATCAGCAGATATCAAAATGAATATTAATTCAAATTCTACATGAAAAATAACTTAGAAGTGGTAAACCACCTGCAACTGTTACTGAATGCGATTAATGTACAGTAAAAGTGAACAATTTGACTTTCTTTTTGAAGGTAACATATGGGGGTATCTGTAAGTAAACATACCTATGTATCATTTTTATTTCTTGACAAGCACAATAAAAGTACAATGTCTACACCAAAAATACAATCTATGGTCACAAGTCCTATGCTGTACAACTGCACAGAAAAATAAAAGGAAAGCATAAGTAAGGTGTTGAGCAGTATTATGGTGAATTTTGTTGGACAAACACAACAACTCTTAAGGAAGAGTAGCAATGGTACTGAAGTAAGGTAAAATGCTATGAAAGACATTTCAATATTTTTTAATATTTTTAATTCTTCTTCAGATATCAACAAAACAAATATATGAAAGGTTTATGATGTAGCATACATTCTCAAGCGCCAAAAAGTATCTCATGAGAATTATGTTTTTGATTGTTAGACATTGCACCTGTAACCTCTGATATCTGAAATGGAAGAGCAGCTGCTAATCAAGTTGATATATCTGCCTTTTGGCCAACTGGATGGGGCTAGTCTGCAAAATGAAAGAACTATGAAAGGACATTGTAAAAGTACAATTCTCCCTGAAATTGAAATACAAAACATCTTAAAAGGTGAAAGAAGCAACCTGTGTTGCTTTCCGTATCCTGGGCTGAAACAAGGACTCGGCCCAAGACTAAATCACTTAAAAATGGATACTGAATGAAAACCTACAGTATTTTCCTACTCCAAAATATCACCAAACAATGACACCCTGTGGATACTACATCTAGGAAATCACTATTTCCCCAAACGTACAAGTCCTTTAAAACCAATATTATGGTACTCTTCCAGTGCTCAGATAATTTGGACAGATTCTGGCTTCTCAGTTTGCTGAAGGACGCATCTCAACTGATTCATTTCCTCTTTTCTCTTTCTCTAAAATTATCTCTTTTAGCCTATCAATGAAGGCTAGCTAAATGATCAGGTTCAAAATAATTTGGTCACAATGACTAACTCTAAAATGGCCAAGAATGATTTAACTGAATAAATGATGAGTACTGCTTGTATGCCCATGGACTTTGTGACAGCCTTGAGTGAGTTTAACAGATACACAGTTGACATATTTAAACAATTCTTATTGTATTGTTACAAAGGGGTTCCGAAAATGGTGAAAATCTGGATTTGACCGAACGGTTTAGTCAATAAATGAAATAAATATTCATAACCCCAAACTTGTAAGTTATTTCTCTAGAACAGTCGTTCTCAAACTATGATATGCATACCACGAACTCCGCCAGCTGGTACACCATATGACCGTGAAACTTTGTGCGCACTGAAAAATCAGGACAGGTTTTCATATTTTCTATTTTAATACGTGTCGAATACGCAGCCTACGTACTACGATACAGCACGTGCTAATACTTGAGTGGACACAAGTGCTACTATATAATTCTATACCATTCTATAGGAATGTGTGCTACGAACCCAAGTGACCAATTGTATCTAAAAAAGTTATCTCCAGGAAATAGGGAGGTAGGAGAATGTGCATGATTTCAGAACAATGCCAATGTTGTAAGCACAGGAATACATAGAAATTATTCAATCTTGTGAGCACAGGAAAGCGTGATACATAACAGAACAATATTTAAAAACTGTTGTAGGTTAATTTGACAAAAATACACAGAATACACATCTCTGTGTTTCGCTCCCATGCACATGAAATAAAAACTTCAATATTTTTGAAGAACCTTATTTACCGTTGGCAAAAGAGCTGACACGTATTATGTGAGGAGAAAAAGCTGCTAAACAGCTCGACCTGCAGCCCCCCTGAAAGACACAGTCCTTCATAGAATTATTGATATGGCGGATGATATCAAAAGTACGCTGATAGAGTGCGATAAGATGAGCAGATGCTTTTCACTGGAATTAGATGAGTCTGTAGATGTCGTTGATTTGGCCAATTTGCTCGTTTACGTTGGATACATGTTTGAGTGTACATCCAGTGAGGACTTTCTGTTCTGTAAGCTGCTACCAACAGGAACTACAGGAGAGCCCATATTTCAGCTTCTGAATAAATTTTACCACTGAAGGGAAATCTTAGTAGCTGAGCATAAAAAGAATAGGAGCATACTGCAACGCGTGTGAAGGCCATAAACGATATTAATTTTGGAACATAAACATACAGTATATGGCTGGTCTCGGTACTTTAAAGAAAACATACACGAAACATGGTTTCATTATGACCAGAATCGGTCTTGAGATATTTTTAACTTGATTTACAGTATTTTAAAGGGATGTCTTAACACCGATACTACAGTGCGTAAATACTGCTCACATATATGTTTCTAGGTTAATATTGTGCATTTCATACGGTCAAATTACTTTTGAGCAACTAATAAGAAGCGCGAAACGGTATGCGTTTTAGTTTCGTTTTTGTGCTGGGACTCTGCTTTTAACAATGTCGCCGTGGATTGATTAGAGATATCAAGTACATACAAGTCATTTTTTAAATGTTGTAGTTCGTCTTGTAAAAATGTTACGAGTACATCATCTATCAA